GGTATATTTTATGGATAATAAGTTTCATATTTAATGTAATCAATACAGCTGCGGCATCATTTTTTAATTTTCCGGTGTATATTCATCCAATAATATTAATTTTATTAATAAGCATCTTTTGATATAGTTGAACTTATCATACCCTCACACAAATTCCTTACACCACTTTTCAAAAATCATATATATTAATTATTAAAAACAAAACAAAAAAAAACAAAATCTCTGAATCAATACATTATTATAGGTACATAGCTGTGGTAACCACGGTATGTTACTTTTCGCAATGAAAAAACACCAAGAAAACTTCTCGTCTTAAAAAAAAAAAAAAAAGAGCTGAAACTGGGGAAGAGAGTGGCTGCTGTTTTAGATGAGAAGTTCGGAAGGTAGGATACATAAAATTACTTGACAAAAGTCGATCCCCAGCACAGTTCGGTAATACACAATTTGGAGCGCCGTAATTTTTTTTGCGATTTTCGTTTAAATTTGATTACAAAACGCTTATTAAAAAAAAAAAGTCGTCCGATGATTTTCAAAATATTATCACGTCTAGGTAAATTCCATATATGTATTATTACCAAGTTTAAAGTCTCTACGTGTAATTATAACTGAATTATAGCAAATAAACCTTTTTTCTTTGTGTAAAACCTTTTCTTCTTTTAACATCAGGGAATAGTTTATGATACCAAATATTGGGATAATTATCTAGTTAGTGCATTAGGGAGGTTATTTTTGAACTTTTATATTATTATTTTTATAAAATGAAAATGAAAATGGTAATATTTAAAATGTCTGTTTAAATCACGTTTTTGTTGTAATTTGAGGAAAAATTAACATTTTAGATTCGAAAAAAAGGCTTTATAATTGTATATAAATATAAATTTGTTTGTGTATTCCACATATATACCACTTATTTCATTATTGCTATAATTATAATAAAAAATAGTATCTACTTCAGTAATTATAACTAAAAATTTCAATATTTTCTTACGATTTATAATACTTTTATAATTTGAGTGTTTTATATTGGTAATTTTAATTAAATTTGTTTGTATCTGATATCTATTTTTCAATGAACAGCCATAATCTACGAGGAAAATATACAAAACCTCATGTAAGTTATTTAAAATTAAATAGTATTCTCTCTTAAAAAAATCATGGAAACACCATTGCTAATCATCTCTTCCCCCAATTGTTCGTTGAAGTATACGTATTCAAATTTTAAATATGATATAAAATGTCCCATATTTATTATAAATACATCTGGGATCTTTAATAGAATTGATTACTTTAATTATCTAGGTATATTATCAAATGGTTATACCATAACAAAGTTAACCATACCAAAAGATTTTGATTAAAGCTCTATTTACATTTGCATGGCACATTACTGCACGACAAACTATTTTAGCATTTAATGTTTTTTAGTATGTTAGTGTCTGTCGGAATCAATTTGATTAAAATATACATATTTTATAATGTGTATCTTTATATTAAAATAATTAAATAACCTAATATAACAATGCATTATAATTAATATATTCATTTCATTCAAAAAACTTAAATTATAAAATTCAAAGTGTATACTAATTTGTTTAATTAATAAGAAAATATAATTTTGAGTAAATGTTGACTGAATAACTCACTATTTTCCGGTGTCGAAAAAAGGTTTAAAATAAGAAAATCTGACTAATAGAAACAAAAATTGTAATTAAATTAATATCGGCTTAAAATAATGTAGCTCAATGCCTGTCTGTCGTTGCCAGTCGATCATCTGTGATCTGAACGGCATTTTTATCTGTCCTGCCTTGTCACGCCGTGTCGTGAAATTGTGAAGTCGAGTTTACTCTTAGAATGTCCACAATAATATTTAGTTCTTTAATATATAAAAAAAAAATTGTATTTGGTATCGTAAATTTTATTTCGCAAAATTATTATCAAATTGATTTATTTGATATGCGCTGGTGTGAGTTATTATTTATTATTTTTTTTATTTTTAGTGTTAAATTAAAAACGATTTCCATATATTATTATAATACGAAACATTTTCGCCGTACTTTGCAATTTCTTTCCGCTGGTGGTACGTATATATCACACTCTATATTTATATTACATTATACAATATCTGGGATATAATAAACGACAGCTCGCTGTGTTGACGTTTCTGCAGGATGTTATTAGGATTCCGTATTTCACACATACACGATATAATAAAATATTATAATATTATCAAAAACGATGAATAATTTTCTCTCATAAGTGAAATGTCATGTTTTCATTGGAAGTTTTTTTTTTCTATCATATATTATTATTATTATAACAATAATAAGAATGGTATTTTTTTCGTGAAAAACGTGTTTAATCGAATTGAATTGTGTGTATATATAAAGTCATATATGGAGGTAACCTAAAAGGTTTTTTAAAAAAATAAAAAGTATCATTTCTATATTATATAAGGTGTAATGTGTTATACATATTCATATGTAAATTTGGTAATATATTATATTATATTATTTTGTTTTGTTAATTTTTCTGGTGACCATACGAAATGGCTAAAAATAACAAAATAACGATTGTCTATTTGCACCCATGTTGTATAAGAAACAGTTTACTAATAATCCTAATAAAGTTGGACGCAGCCTCGTCCAATAACAAATAAAACATAATAATTTTAACTCGAAATCAATTAAGTACATTGGAATTGTATAAAAATGGTGAGTACGTAATGTTATTATTGCAGGAAACTGATTAAGTGCGTTTATATGACATATAGAAAATACAATACAGTAAAAAATAATATTGAAAGTGAACCGTGAAAATTAAATAGACAATAAAACCTGCATATTTATAGAATAAACATGCAACAAATTGTTGGGTATTCTTAGATAAAATTATATAAAATTAAAATTAAAATAATACAAAAATAAGTAATGCGGAAAAAAATAATAAAGTTACCGTGTTCAATGATCCTGAATTACATAATAATCAGAAAAAAAGATGTATAATGAACGAAAATAATATTTAAATGTGAAAATTTACTATAAAATTGGCTATAAAATTAAATTAAAATATTGATTGTTATCATTCACTGGAGGATGGTTCCATCCCAAACATTTGGTAACAAAGTAGGGGTAACAAGATAAAACAGTTTCTGAATTAAGAATTTTTATTGACTAGAAAACCGATACCTAAAAAATAAAAGTATATCGGCTATTGCAGATTAACACTCCCTGAAATATTTCATTTATGATTTCCAACTTTACAAAAATGAGAGCGGTTATAGGTTCTTAAACTATCATTATTTATCGGTTATCGTTGATGTAACCGGTAACCCCTTTTAACCACGGCTTTTGGAAAGATCCAAGTTACAACATACCATTTTATTAATATTATTACGTATTCCTCTTTTCGTCAATATTTTATTTAAAATACATTATATTGCATTGTAGTTACATTAATTTGCAAGGAATTCATTTTTTTTTATAGAGATTTAACAAAGAGACTAATACAATTATACAGAATTTTTTTTTCTATGAAATCGAAAATATGCCTTAGAAGTTTCCCGCATATACAATTTCCCGGGTGCAGGTGGCGGGAAAAAAGTATACATAAAGATAATATTAATTTACGTCACTCAACAGTGTTTTTTTCCTTTCCGGGTAGCACAATATACTTTCTTTTTGGTCCCTTTTTTCGCCGGCAGTTTGATTTAAAAATCAATAATTTCAAACTCACGAATATTGGAGATTTTTTTTATTATTGACTGCGCTAATATCCTGCACGTGTATACAATATTCGTAAATAATAATAGTATTATGCATAATGTATATACTGTGAATGGCAGAATATTATTATCATTTAAAAAACGGTCCGTAGAATGATGCAAAAAACCGTTACCTACCTATAGTAAGTACATAATTTAAACTAGTAAATCGATTCTCACGGAACTCGATTCGGTATATTATTATTATTATTATTATGTAAAGGTGATCGTATGATGTAAGTAAGTGATATTCGTTAAAAAATAAAATAAATGTACCTACATACCCAAAATGCACGAGAATCTATAAAAAGTTCAGAAATAGTAAACTATATGTGGAAAGTGGAAGGGTAGTTACAAAGTGTTACTTCCTTGTGCTTTGGCTATAGTTATAGTCGTCACAGGACTGCGATGTAATATTTTAAAATGTGCGAAGGCATCGGAAAGTTTTTGAATGTTTAAAGAATAGCGTGGCTTTTAATATTTATGTGTTCTTGGCCGAAAACGTTCGTCGAAATACTAAAAAAAAAAAAAACAAAACAAAACAAAAAACCAACCATAAACTTTCTGATAACACGGACCTCATTATTATGCAACGTTTTCGTTTTGTTATAAATTGTCAGATACGGATTATATGGATTTAATTTCATACGCTATCTACATGATATTGGTGTAACTAGGTAGTAATATATAATTCGTCGATTCGTTATGATTTACGGAATAATAATACAAAAAAAAAGGTTGATGCTTTGTACCATGAGCAGACCACTGTTTAGTTGTATTACGAGTAGTTTAGGTGGTACTTTGATTTTTATATGCTCTTCGTTAGATTATCAAACCCATCTATATAAAACTTAGTAAAATAGTTTCTTCTTTACTGTCAGAATATAAAATATATAATTTATTATAGATTTATAACGATATATGATGAATAACTTAAAAATAACCATGGAAATTATAAAGCTACAAAGTAATATAGTAGTAATAAGGAACTTTTTTGGGGAGGATCGGGAGTATTTCAATAGCTTTATAACGAATACGATTTGTATTATTATAATTTCATAGTACTCGATGAAATTATTTTAGTTCTGGCCTTTCATATTAATATATTATTATATTTGTTACAGAACTCGGTTTTATAATATATTATACACAAGACTTGGCCTCAATACAATTTATACAAAATTTTTATTTCGGGAATGTACACTGCATTGAAGACTTAGTCATTAGTTCTGTATTATAGTCAATTTGATGACGCATTACGTTTTCTCACGATATTTATCTGAACCACGTCTATACAAATCGTATGTTGTTTTAATTTTAAATTTTACTTCTTCTTCAACTGATATTCAAATATCCTGTTGATTTTCTACAGATCTCCGTGCCTCCCTTTTGTAATTAATTTCCTTAAATTCTCGTATACGCGTCCATTATAATTTGTTTCGTGATGCACTATAATCCTCGGTTTACGTCTTCCAAAATATGGAATTCTACGACGATTTGTATAATTACACGCTATTAAATTGCACGTGAAATTCGTTTAACTTAATAGATCCACAAACATGTTTAGGCGGTTTAATAAACTTCGGTTTCCCTCCCAGATTTTAAACCATAATTTTACGACGGTTAAAAACCCATTTCTCGTAAATCTTAGCTTTACACGCAAAGAAAAGTTTTACTAACGTGTACTGTCAAAATAAATGCCCTTTTAATTATAATCAAAATTAATATATTATTCTTTTTTTCTTAAAACTAGTTCTTTTATGATAACAACAAATCATACCTGAAAAATTGTAGTTATCTATAAATAATAATTTAACTTGTTTATGAGTTGAAAAAAAACACTATAGGTACACTAAATTTATTTTGGGGAGTTTGATCACTGGCAAATTCGCAAAATATCTATTTATGAAAAAAAAAAAATTTAATTAACAAATTTAAAAAATATATATTTTATATTAATTTTAGGGGGACAGAAGCAACAGATAAAAAAACTTAACGACTATTACTATAATATAATATAATTTATTATAATAAGCGAATAATAAAACCAAACGATAAAGTATATATATCGAGCAGTATTGTTAATATACAATAATTAAACAACTGAAAAATCTAATTATTTGTTGATTAATTTTTTTTTTTTTTTTTTTGGCTTTATTGCAAAACGGAATTCTCAGTTAAACCCCGATTGTTCGGATATAATATTACACACATAGATGGTCGCATAAGACGGGATTTTCCTTTCTCCTTTCAGAAAAGAGAAAACGCGCACGTCTCGAATGAAAATAGGTATTTATTAGTCTCACGCGATGCTGCGCTTAAGATTGTCGGAACTCGCTGCATTTGTCGTTTAAAGGTAAACCAATTTATAATAATTATTAATTTCATTAACACGAAAAAACAGATATATATATTAATACCAAAATACGATTTTATATCCACCGTTGACGGATCACGTTCGTTTCTTTCATTAACAATAAAATAATAAAATACATTTTCGAATTCAATTTCAGCGAACACGAGGTTTAATATTGCCGTTGAATACCGGATATAGCAATAACAAATGATCAAATTGAAATATAAAAAAAAAAAAACAAATTTAAATTTAAACGAATTGAACGCTTTTTGATTAGATATTCTTGTAATTTATTATATTGATCACAATAATAATATAAGTGAAATAATATTAAATTATTATTTTTTTTAATTTAAGCATTCGACCTGGTTTATTATTATTGCAATAATGTAAACAAATATAACTATAGTCTAGAATATTTTTACTTGGTTTTTGGTAGATTATATTATTACGACCGATTTTTATTTTTTAAAACATAACCAAATGTATGTTAAAATCATCAATAACGCTGAACCTTTAAAAACTGTATGAATATTAATCCCAATGAAAAACGTGTTAAAAAATGATGAATGTTAAATTAATTTTAACTTTTTTTATTCAGTGACCACCCATTACACCCGCTACGTGCTACGTGCGGAGGTGCATCCAATCCACTCCCAGTCGTGGCCGATCCACCTGAAGGCTTGGAGTTCTAATGCCACCCGGTCGCACGCGTAGGGATCGTCTACGCCGGGTCTATCTTGATGTGAGAACATCGGTCACGAAAAGCGCGGATGTACGTAACTGTCACCGTGTTTGTGTGGCTAAGCGTCAATACGGTTAGGCATTTGAAGTTATTGACAGCTACTTGGACTGCGGCACCGACTTCATCGACGCCAACCGATGGTTCCGTCAACTGGTGAATAGCACCACGACGCAGGCCCACGTTATCATGTACGGGGTGTTTAAACCCGCCCAGCGCTACGTATTTCGGCGGATTTTGGGAAGCAGTAGTACGTTCCACAAAGCGTTTGTCGGTCCAGATCGTGAGATCGTGGGTGCACACACCTTCACCTACAAGAAATTCGCGAAGGTGTTGTGCCACATATAAATGGTATTCAATTTTCGACCGCTAACTTCGATATCAACCAATCTGTATGACCTCGTGTGTCTTACGCCCGGAAACTTTCTGGTGAACAAACCGACAAACTAGCAAATCATTTCCTCGTACTTCGGATGCCTGTGGCCGTACGATAGTCAACCGATGGAAGCTCCTAGACCAGTGCCATCAGTCATTGTGCCATTATGCAACAGCGGGCCAAACCTACAGACACCTAGCCACCTATTGGTGCCACCTTTCGAATGGTGGTTCAAACGTGTATTTAATTTGTTACCCGGCTGCGACTCGGTACGCGTTCTGACCTCGCGCAGTTTAGTCACTCTACGCGTCGCAAAAACTGTATAGTTACCCACCCAATGATATGTGGACGCCTTCTTTTTTTTATTGTGCGTTTCCTGCCTTACAATATAAAATGTTTATAACATTTGTCTACAACAATATCGTCATTTTTTTTTTTTGTTTTTCAATCAACATGTATCATGATTGAGAAGCATTGAATATCCGTTAGGTTTGGTTGTACGATGAATTAAACAACGTTACATATTGTAACATATGAGAAATTGTGTATTTTATATTTAAATATTTATTTAAACCTACTAAGTTGTTCTTCCTATTTTACGCCGTATGATAATCGAAACTTTTTTTTTTTTTTGTATTTTCTGTATTAATCACCACGCATTGCGTGCCTCGAATTATATTTGTATCGCTATCTATTTTTATTTTACCAGTTGATAATTGATCCGTATTTTAGTAACACGGAAGAAAAAAAATATATAGTTCCTCTCTTCAATGGAGAAATCTTTAGTAACTGGAAATACCGAATGAAAATCGCACATATAGAACAAGATTTGCTATAGACCACGAGGAGCGAAGAAGGTGCATCGCATGTTACTGATGATGCTAAGACACTTAAGACATTAAGAAAAAGTAAATCAATACTTATAAAAAGAATATTTGACAGTCATCTAGAATATGTAAAAGGTAAGGAGACTCCTTTCAAAATTTGGGAAGCACTTACTGAAACATCCAAACGAAAAGGAATTAAAAAATATTAAATTGTTCACAATTAGACGCCTTTTGTCACTCAATTTTGACGAAAAGCAGAAACTAATGTCTTATTTACTCACTTTAGACAAAATTATCTGAGATCTCGATGATGACAAATCAATCGAACCATTGTGTGTTTGTTTCTTGTATTAAATCTACCGAAATTACACTATAATCTAATAACTGCCCTTAAATATTGAGTGATGATAGACTAATGATCAATTATATCAAAGGTAAATTACTGAATGAGGAAATGAAAAGAGTGGGCACAATATTAAAACCAGAACCGAAGGTCACAACCACTTTCTCGAATAATACCCTTACAAGTTAAAAATGTACAATAATCGTAATAAAATAAAAACACGATATTTTTAATTTATTATTCATATTTAAATATTTTATTTTAGGTTTTCAGTGGAACGGGGAATGTATTGGTTTTACAATGATGTTTATTATATTTTATTATTATTCTTATTATTATTTTTTTTATGTTAACACTTTTTCTACCAGAAAACATACTTCTATCATCAATTGAGGAAATGTTCTCTAGGTGGTACTTTAGAGAGTTGACTTTGACTTTATATGCTTCGTTATACTGTAACATCACTTGTACCCGAACATAACTCTCTCATTTATTTCTCGACGCTTGTTATGATTGATGTTTTTATTTACTTCTTGGTACTTATAAATAATAATGGATAACATTATAGTTATCCACTCATCCACTGTTATAAATTCAATGTTACCAAAGTCGTTTACATTTTAATTATACCTTGACATTACCTACCACTTTGTTTTATTTTCACATTAGATCCATGGTTATATTAGCTTCAAGTATGTTTGCAATTTATTTTAAATGCTTTCATCACTACACTATCGCCAGTGATTAAATTACTAAAACAATTAATTTATAAATTGTGTAACATGCCAAAATGAGAGTTTGTAATTTACTCAAAAATATAAATATTTAATTTGCGTCAGGTAGTTTAAAATAGTAATTAGTAATGTTTGTAATTAGTTTGTAATTAATATTCTATGTGTCTATGTATTCTATTATCGACTATTCGATTGTCAAGTGCCTATTCGGTTAATCCATAGTGGTATAAATGGCAATTTTACCTGGATTTTCAAAAATCCAAAAATTATTTTTTTCCCTAAGATAAGTTTATCTTTACAATATTCTTTTTCTCTCTTTTATCGTTAATAAAATGAAAATACATATATTTTAGATTCTGAGTGAAGCGAGGAATATCTTGGCTTTACAATGAAATTTATTTTATTTCCAGCATTTATCTACCTTATCTAGTAATCATTTCAAAGTTTGAAATTCGATTATCCGTCGTAATTGCCTAATTATTTCATACTAATTTTTAGTCTTTCCGTTTCATCATTATAGTTAATATTATGCCGTGTACCGCATTTGTTTTGTGTTGAGTAATTTTTTTTTCTTTTCTATTTCTTCACTACCTTCCTAACTTCTAACCTACAACAGTAGGTAACTCATCGTCCGATGTATGTCCGTATCTACATACATCTTAATAGAACCTATGGCCTTTTTTTTTTTTATTAATCGATTTATTATTTTTCATCAACTTGTCTAAACTCGATAAGTATACATAGAGAGTTAAATTAATTAATAATAATACCTATATATTTATTATTATTAAATATCCGTACACATAATAATTGCAGTCTCGTCGAGATTGTCTAGCCAGTTTTTACCCAATGGCATTGTCATTCGAGATGTTAAAATGGAACAAATTATGTTTTATATACTTAAAAACATAATTATTCTTTTTTACGACTTTTAACGTTGTTTATTTCTTTTCACAAGTTTTATACTTATTGATTTGAAGTTATTATTATATTTTTTTTTGTATTTTTATAGACATAACGCCGACACGCTCCGAAGAATAGTAGGGGTCTTCTTTTTTTTTTCGTAAATGAAAAATAAAAGCGAAAATCATTCTAGCGTACGGCTCCTTACGGAATTGCACACGATGTAGAATTTTAATGACTTTTTTTCATTTTTCATTTTTCATTTTTATTATTATTATTATTATTTTTTTGTTGTTTCTCAATATCAGTATCGTCGTCGTAGTTTCCACAAGTATAATAGCTTGTTTTGGCGAAAGTGTATGCGGTGTAGTTAAAATGCGAGTCGTAATGTGGCTGTCATCATCGTTCCTCTTGAATAAAAATACTTTATAACATTGTACGGCGCAAAAGCTTTATTATAATACTGCACTGGATAATCCAGAAAAAGTATTTTTGTTGTTGCCTCGGACGTAGCTGTACGCTTAAAACAAAAACGCCAACAACGTGATTATTTTTATAAAAACAATATGAATATTCCATTAGGTATGTGATTATTTATTCGTAGGTATTTTAACAGAGTGGGTTTTCATTAAAATACAGAGTGCTCACAAAAGAAATTCCGGATTTTAAAAAAGTTTATTTTCAAAATTAAAAAAAATGCTTAAACACTACGAAATTACTTATTATTAAGTTTTTTTATAATTTCCTTATTGAAAGTTCATAATTATTCAACTGGTGTGAACCTTTAATGGCGTGAACATTATAGATTCGATTTTTAAACTAGTTCTCAGAATTCGTAGTCATATCCTTTGTAATCATTTTCATCAAATTCAGTAGTTTATTACTTGGTTAATTGATATTCTTCGGTAGTCATGATTTCGTAATGTATGTCTAGTTGTTCATTTGGATGTGAGTAATTATTTAACTGAAATGTTTGATTAACACAACCACATTTATAACCTTAATCATTAGACTTTTTGTTAAAAACTTTATAAATAATGTACATGTTAGGTATAAAGAAAGACAATTTTTTTTTTTCTATATGGTTTAAATTATCGGTGAAAAAACATAACATGAAGGTAAATCATCTGTACAACTTAATAAAGAACAAATAAGGTTCGACAGTTGATAAAGATAAATAAAATTCAACGATTTTATTCCACCTATAAAAATAGAAGGGTAGAACTCGTTTCGCTTAAATATATTTTAGTTAGGTATTTTAAAATTTTAGTTGACAATTGTTTTTGTATAATGCATTTCCACTTCACTCTTAACATTTTTACCTGACACAGGCTTAAATATAAGGACGTTAACAATTAAGTTTAGCAACTGAACAATACAATACTTAAGGTATTGGTGAATAGCTTAAACATAAATTTAGCTTAATATTTTAAAACACATACCCATCCGATTACTTTGCTCCACCTAAAATTGAATGGTGGAATGTCTAACTGACGAAAGATAAGTAAAATACTGTGATTATTTAGTAGTTAACTATATTTTAGAGGGTAAAGTGATATCATTCCTATATTATGAGTAAGCAATTAATAGCGTTAAAATTTCCCATAAAAACCAAGACATAAAAATGAATCGTCTAAAGTATGTCCGCCCTTTATTTAAATTATTCATACAACATTTAGGCATGCCTAACAACCAGTCAAGATATGAAATACACGTTTCCGCGATTATTTCATTTTATTATTATCGAAAGCTAACTGTGCTGCTTGAGAAGATCGGTTTTATTCTCTCCCCTCCATAACTGTTTCCTGTACTTGTGATTACGCTACAAAGATCGGTTTTATTCTCTCCCCTCCATAACTGATCGGTTTTATTCTCTCCCCTCCATAACTGTTTCCTGTACTTGTGATTACGCTACACTACACGTATTTTCGCTGTCGTTCAGAGTGTTTTTAGCTGATACTGTTTGAATGATTTATGGCAGCTGCTGCGGTTCGAAAAACAGCACTAATAATCTTACGTACGTCATCATACAATATTGATAAATCGAAAAAGCCTCGGACGAGTGATGACGAGAGGGAACTGTTGCGATAATAATAGCTACAAAAATTGAATCAATTTTTGTCAAAAACAATTTTTTTCTTGTATAAGGTCATAATTTCTACCACGTATATACCGTAAGTAACCTATACATTTGCAAATTATTTTTTTCTCCCTAATATTCCTAATGCACTCTCGAAAATACAATTAAAATAATTGGCACTCGCATTGTTTTCAACAAAATAACCAATATAAGTACACGTAGGTAAACATGCCATAATTTATTGCATTATAATAAATGAATTGTGTACAAATTTCACGTTTGCGTGTTCATAAAAAAAAGTACAAATCTATTAATTTACAATATTATTATTATAATATTATATTGAATACTTATACACGATCACAGTCGATTGTTGACTATATCTGACATTTGTATTACTTTTTTTTAAAATGTTGGTACATTAACCGGTGACTTTCGATAGATTACATGACNCGATTGTTGACTATATCTGACATTTGTATTACTTTTTTTTTAAATGTTGGTACATTAACCGGTGACTTTCGATAGATTACATGACCAAATACGACTAGTGAATGATAAAAACAATGGTATTTACTATTTTAAATATTTAAATATTTTATGTAGAATATTTATTTTTTGAATTTTCTATTGTGAATATTACAGCGTCAATAAAATGGGAAGGAGATAGAAGATAACGAAAAGTACTGTTGATACAATTAATAATAATCCCTCATTTTATTTCACATTCTGTAATACTGTAGTATATATGTTGATTTTGGTAGGATTATCTGTTTCTTCTTAGGCTTTCTGTAAATCTTCTTATATTTTAGGTCGGTTGCCTTCTGACTAGTGGCGTGCCCAATGGGAAGCGATTTAACAAACAAAAATCGTGAAAAAAGAGTAAAATCGTATTCTCTACCTAACTCGACTACAGGAATTGATGTTTTGAAAGACAGATCCTACAAAATTCCGATTTCTAATCAATACATCAAGCTTTTTCTCGAAAATCAGCCGAAATTTATGAGTTTCGATATTAGATTACTCATATTTTGTTATATTTTTAAGTCAATGGTGGAGGATATAACTTGTAACTTTCCCCCTCTGGGCACACCACTGGTTCTGACTTTCTAGATGAACCGGTCTTCCACATGCAAACCTTAGTAATCCACGTGTTATTGTAATTCATGTCTAACTATCTTCTTTTTCGGTCAGCCTCTTCCCTTCATTTCATCCATATTAATTCATAAACCATCTACTCATATAGTACTCTACTACTCAGAAAACAGTTCTTAATCTTATATTCTCATCGCATGCCCGGACGACTTCAGTTTATTATTTCATATCAACTATCTAAACGTTTGCCCCTTTAAAACTCAATATTTACTCCATCATCTATTTATTTCTAATCTATTTAAGCTTGTTTTGCATGTCAACCAAAAAATTTGAAGTTATTTGTTTAGTCAAGTTGTATATTTTTATTTGGATTTTACTGAGACTTTAAACATTAAACACACTAATTGTTAAATCATATTATTCTAGGTACCCACTTATAAATAATTCCGTTTTATTATTCCTCATGTGAAAAAATCTGGCATTTTAATTGTTTCGAAATTATTATGTGTCAGATAATGTATTATTTCGTGATCGTGATATTGTCGGGCGAAAAAAACCATCAGACACAAACAAAAATCGTTAAATTAAAAAAAAATAAAATCTGATTGACGGTGGATTTATAAAAATGAGGTACAGCAGCAGAAGATAAGCCCGTAGAAGTTAAAAAAAAAAAAAAAAAAAAATGATTGCCGTTAGAACACGCGCTTGGTAACCACAACGGCAATTTATAAGGTTTACATCCAAGAGTCGGTGCGGTATATTTAAAGGGCGTTGATTAACCCGCCACGGATTAATGCGATATCCATTATTTGGACGTATAAATAAATTTAAAAATAACCCGGTAAGTTTTAAATAATACCTATATAATAAGATCCATTCAGAGAAGCGATTTCAGATAATATAATATTTACAGAGCGGTAATCGAATAACCACGTTAGGTATCTTATACTTACCTATACTAAATAATATTATTATCTTTTCTTTTCACCCAATGATTTTCCCTGGAACTATATTCGTTTTAGCACCGACGATAATGCCATCAAATATTATCGAAATCGCGTCAACACATACATTCAACTGTATATTGTATTCACTATGCGTCATCACACTACATAATATAATATGATTCGATTACAAAAATAGTAACATGCCTCAGGAGTTTCCAATAGGAGGACGGTTGTCATCCTATTGCGTTCCGATTTAAACTTCTTAACCCTTTTCGAGTTTTGATTGCGTCCGGTTTTTAGCAGCTGTGCATCCGATTGGGTCCCAAACGAAAAATTGAGGATTTCGATTGCGTCCGAAAATAATATTTCAACTAGTTACTATAACTCAAATTATACTGAATATGATATTACAATAAGTATAAAACTAATAGATTAGAATAAAAACAACATTGTTATATACAAAATACGTTTTTATACACAAATTATGTAAGACATTGCCCCAGGGTCATATTTAAGGTGAGGGTTGAAGAGTGAGCTGTAACCCAAAGGGTCCAAAAATATCGGGCTTCCACAGTTTTGTTAATATAAAATGGTTAAAACATAAAAAAATATTATATAAAATACGGAACTTTCATTAGAAAAAAACATTTTTTTTTTTTTTATTTTATCTATTTTTGTAATAACGTATGTAATAATATGTGGTCAATTTATCAGGCGATTTTCTGAAATCCAGGTAAGAAAGGTTTTTGTGACGTCCGTAATCACCATAATCACCATCAATCTATAAACTATTATCGAATGTGTTTAATCTAAATTGGGTTTATCTTAATACACAGATAAACTTTGGGCTTATATGTCAAACTACTGCTAAAAAGACGGTCAAAGCCGAATGACGAATTTTTCATCAAAAACAATTAAATTAGTTCAATCGGTAATATCGTTTTTTCGAAACTGTAACAGTAAAAAGGTAAATACATAAAATGAATTGTTACAAATTTAAAATGTAGTGAAATTTTCATAAATTCAAACAGGTTTATATGAGTGGTAGAGTAAAACATAAATTAGCTAAAAAAAAAGGTAAAAATAATTACATAGGGGTAAAAAATGTGTAAACAACTGATTATTTAAAACTTCGTAAACGCCAAAGAATTATCCGTTTGAATCTAATAGATTTTAAAGAAACACCTGGGGTAGATTCGACACCTTTTCTAAATTTTTTACCAGTTAGATACGTTTAATTTTAACTTAGGTTAACGATCATCAACTTATTAGTGGATGAACCAACGATTTAGTTTTCATTGAAATTAGAACAATTAATATGATATTGGCTGTTTCCGAGTCTTTTGCGTTCTTTCCAGTTGGTTAAAATTAGAATTTTAGAGTTCCAACTCGTAAATTATACAGTTAAGAAGTTAACACTTAGAGAAATTGAGACGATTACCACTCGGTAAGATGATTTTTATTAAAACAACTCCTAAAAAATCAAAAAATGACCACTTTAAAGTAACACCCCAGTTAGATTTCCTTTCAGAAAAAGTCCTATCATTGCACATCGGAAAAAAATTGCTGGTAAAAAATTTGTTCAAAATAAAATAAAATAAACATCATTGTAAAACCATGAGTTTCTTCGGTTAACCCAGAATCTAAAATAAAAATAAACATAATTGTAAAACCAATACATTCGTCGCTTCGCTCTGAATCTAAAACCTTATTAAATATTTTCGTGGTCTCATTTTATCAATTTTCGGAAAACACGAGTTTTTATTTTAGCCAATTCATAATATACACTGTGGCCCAAACGCGAATAACCATTTTGTTGTGTCACTATTGGGATTAAAAACATTGTTCAAAAAAATAATTTCCGTTCAAATCGTTCTTGTATATTGATCAGTCTGAGTTTAGATCCCAGTGTGTGAACACTTAACTTTCATCAGACTGTTAATTAACTCATATTGATTGATTGTTAATTTTCTGACCTTTATTCAGATATCAAGATTACGGGTTTCGTTCAAGAGTAAACGATTCCGCCTTAAGATTTTGCTGCGACGAAGACAACTGTGGATTGTTCGTTCGACGGAAATATTAAAACGAGAAGCAAGAAAACCGTAAAAACAGAGGACGTAGACGCCTCTCAGGTATTGCAAACCGAACACTTGGCCGTTAACGAACGTTAACAGACGACACAATCAAAGGATACAAAAAATTAAAAACCGAGACAGGTGTATGTCGATAAACCGAGCAGTTCGTATTCTTAAGTGAAACCCAGCCGGACGTTTCGGATGGCCGCGAAAATACGATTAACATTAAAAAATTATACGAGTTCTTCTGTTTTGAACAAAACGTATGAAATTCAAATTTAACTGCCATGGACGAAATTTGATAAATTCTTCGCAAATGTAAAATTTCTAAGATAGCATTAAAGTTATCCAGTAAAAAATCAGATAAATGAAAATCGATATTGAAAATGATCGGTAGTGAGGACGAGGGCCATATAAATGACCTGTTAAAGGAACTAAACAAACTGTCCAGTTATTTTGGAGTCGGGTCGTAAACACATGACTATAAAATATTATAAAAATAGTTATTGCGAACACGGTTGACTACAGTATATTTTAACGATCCAAACAAATGTACTCTCTCGGTAAATTCATCCCAGGACTTTATTTACACCCTCAAATAAATTAAAGACGGTAAATTGTATATTATAGTGTAAATTTATTTCCAGTAAAAATATAAAAGCAAATTTTTATCAGGGGGATTAATACATAATGCTTTTTTTTTACCAGGGGTACATTTATACTTTTTTATATTTGCCCCTTTTAGTTTATCCGAAATGGTAAATATATCCGGGGCAAATAAATACAATGATATTTTTACAATACTATATATTAATAATATTTTTTACACATATCATAAATACCTATTCATTATAACTACTCGGCTACATCAATATTTCTGGACATAAATTTTAGTGCACAGAATAATTTTAACTTAAAGCCATTTACAAAATGACGAAAATGTTAAATATTAGTCGTGTATTTTAAATAATTGGTTTTCCTTGATACTGAACTATTTACGAACTATTACATAACACATTATTTCCACCCACCTTTTAATTGGTGATCGATTGACGCAATCGAAACCCGAGAGTAGTACAAAAGATCAAAAGGATCGCAATCGACATTTCACATGTTATAATTGACGTACTTGACCTTTGGTTGACCATACTTTGAGAAGCAATCGACTATCACAATCACGACACGTAGTCAATAATAATCATGATTCGCGAATAAATCTTCGACTCTATTTGTTTACTTAACTCGATAATATGAGAATTTAAAAACCGGATTAAATGAAGCTAATTTGTGTTCAATAAACCAACCTCTTTTCCATTTCAAATCGGCAAAAATACATAATTTCGAGATAAAATTGCATACACAGATAGTTGGATTTTTAAGCCGTTGTGAGAGATTAAACCTCAACTTCCTCTTCGTACGCTACAGTACATATTGTCGACTCACTATAAATATGCATGAATTAAATTGGATTTTGATCATTGTTATCATTGTACATATAGTTTACAATCCATTCTGTATATTTTATATACACGTAGAAGTAAACGTATCACGATAAAAAAAAAACACGTTAAATTAATCAGATTATTCGATCGGAATGTATTGTCCAAGATATCACGTCCAAAACTATATTTTTATAATGAGATTTTCATAATAAGTTCGATTTATGTTGAACAACTACTATAATATGATATTTACGATATATAGTATTTAAAAAAAACCCCTTTATTTGGATTCTTGCAACTGATATAATATATGGACAAAATAACAATTCAATACTACAATGACACGCTTGAATATATTTTAATTTTGAACGATTTTTGCGTAAATACGTATGAGTTTCGGACAGGCTAAATACGACACCACAATAATACGTATACTAAATTACTTGCATAAATGTACACTAGAATTTCCGAATTAAAAAAAACATCTCCAGACACAAAATTGCAATGCAAACCGATTATATACGTCGTGCACGAAACTTTGTTTTTTTTTTTTTTAAATATAAGTTTGAATACATACGGCACGGAAACGACAAAAGCGTCAAAGAAATATTGTATAATTTCCATATGATCTGGTTTCGTTTATCGACTAGAACGTTACGATTTTATGGTACACATACTTGCTATAAATACGACGTTTATTATGATAATATTATATTTATCTCTGAAATTTCCTGATTTTTAATTTTTTTTTTCAGATTTACAAATACGACGGATAATCTGCGATTCGTTGGCCGCAATGATTTTTGAATTTCAACTGGCGACCAAATAAAAAAAACCATCAAAGGATATTATACCTATGGCAATTTCGAGGGTATATGTAAAAGTATTTGTATATTATGATGATTTTTTTAGCCAAACGATTTTTAGGTCAGGAGCGTAAAACATTATAATATTATATAAAATATACAAATTTAAGATTATGCGTTTTTATCACTGAAATTGTCCATGGTGAAAATTATTTATTCTGACACGTGAAGTCGATTATCGAATGCCGAATAATAATTGTCTATGTGAATAAAACATCAGTTATATTATATTATAACTGGTTAAAACTCGATGTACGCCATTGTATTCTTCCTGAATTTTGATTATTATAATTTTGTTTTTTTATTGACAATGAAGATTTCATGAGATGATAAAAATAATAATAATATACAAGTATACAATAACAATATTTTATGATATTTTACTTTAGTGAAACAAATTTAAAACCTTAGACTCGTAATAAAGAAAAAAAAATATCGAAATCGACACCATAAAAAAAATCTACTTTGATTACGACATTCGACACTCGTCTTATCGTGACGGGTATCGAAATATCGAATAAAACTATAACTCAACTCTAATTTGAAATCGTTTTATTATCGTATTATATACGGCATGGTCAAATGTCACTTAGTTATTTGAAAATCTCCAGTCAGTAATTTTTAGTAAAGTTAGTTAAGCTAATTAATAAAACAAGTGAAAATAAATGTTTCATTGATAAACCCGGTTAAGTTAAAATTCAATTAGAAATACAATTAGAACTTATTTAGTATATTTTAGTTTATTTTCTTTAAGTTTTTGTAAAACCGTTAGCAAAAATTATTAAACCACTTGATTTAATGATTTTTTTGAAGACATGGATGATCGAGTGATCGAGAGTACGTTAAAGACAGTGAAAATATCAAATTTTATTTTTCGTGTACTCATATTTAATAAACTCGTTATTTATTCATATATAGAGTAACAAATTTGTAAATACAGATAATTTCAAACCCAGTGATATTATAGTAGGTTAGATAAATTTAATATTATAGTGTTGAGATTAGGTAAGGAATAGAAATAGAATAATTCGAAATAAACTATATGGTTAATCACGAGTTTACCCCGAAATAAGAAACTGTTGCGCTGTTATATTTATCTTTTATCTGCCACTTGTGAACATTTTTAACTCAGGATTAAATGAGTTAAAAGTCGGGAATAATAATTTTATTTGTAGGCATATTAAATTGTTAATAGTTTTTACCGTCTTTTTCGGGAGGACAGGAAGAGGGTATTTTTTAAATTCCAATAGAATTATAAATTTAGCTAGGAGATACAATTTTGTACATGTATACCACATCGAGTATGTGGCTTTTGAGGGTGTTAACATTTAAATCCTACCCCAAAGATTTTCATGAAAAAATACCATAGTTTTTCTAGAAGTAGCATAATTTTAGTATAGTATATTGTAGAGTTGTGTCGTATTGTTAAAGTATTCGGATATTTATTGTTTTGGTTAAGTTCTATAACACAAAAAAAATGGACGAAAATATGACTATAGCGCCGTAGTTTTGCTACACACAGGGGTTTCATTATTATTAAGTCGATGCTAAATAATCGCAATAAGTTAAGTTATAGTAAAAAAAAAAAAATTCCTTCGTTAAAAACCTTGTTAAAATAATCAAATAACAATTACTCTTTAAAATTATCGTTAACTCCTGCCAGAGTTGGATATAAATTATCAAACAAAACGTTTTTCGAATCAAATTGCAAACCGATTTCCATATTAGGGGGTTTTGAATCGTAAAAAAAAAAAAAAAAAAAAAAAAAAAAATACATTATCGCCTTATTTATACAGTCTACCTTATAAAATAACCCGTAATATGATTATATTATGAAAGGCATAATGTTGTTACCGTGTGAACCTAATGCCTCTGAAATTCCGCGGGTATATGACGGAAACGAAACGCGTAATTCGATTGCGCGCCATTCGCGCAGTCAGCTCGTTCACGAATATTGTTTGTGCTCCACAACTTAGGTATACGCCGGTATAGTGGCCGTGATGGTTTTTAGAATTTCGTCGGCGTACGGCCGCATCAAAAGCCCCGGAGGTAAATATTTGCAACGGCCGTCCGACGACGGTATTTTCTATTACGTTCTTGTGTAATATACACTTATATTTATACGTATACCATATCGCCTGTGATCTGCACGTGTTTTAATATCGTTCGCGTGTATTCTGCGCATACCGCGTACCCACTCAAGTGATGGATAGATAGCTTTCGAACGATTGGGGAAAATGTTTAAACGCTGCTTTAAGCGAGATTATTGTGTCCGGTGTTGCGTTTAATCTAAATGTTATAGATATCTACTTAATACTATCTACTTATATATATATATATATATATTATATAGCGAATGTTCAACAGTAAAACCTCTATTAACGAACACTTCCCGAAAACGGACATTTTTTTGGCAACGTGGATATTTACACTATTTTTCAATGGGAAAACCTCCGAATAGCGACACTATATTGATCTAAATTTAAAAATAATAACAAAATTACGAAACCAAAACGTATTCGCATTCATATGCACTCTCGTAAAAATGTTATTCCGATAACTAACTTTTTTTATGGGACGATATGATTACGGCGAATTCGGTTAACGGTTATGTGTGTTATTACAAAGATATCAATGGTTCGTGGGTACATTTTCTTAGTCAGTGTCGGTTTTCGATGCGTTGAGTACGCTACAACGAAAGCGGTTGTCGCTTCGCGAAAATTCTAAGTTTTAAACTACCGTAAAAACAACGGAAACGTAGGAATTCGTGGGTTCGTAGAAAAGTTTCTATTTAGAAAAACGCAGATCACGATTACCGTATCTTTATAAAGCATGTGGTTGAAAATGGAAATGACAAATGTAAACTACGTAAATAAAATGTAAGCTTTACGAATATTAAAAATGTTCCCTTTCTGAATGACGGACACCTCCGAAAAGCGGACGAAATTTTGAAAACCAAGAGTGTCCGCTATTCGGATGTTTCACTGTTTATATGTATATTTATAATTATACATATTTTATTTGTACACGATGGTGAAAAAGTCATTTTAGTTACGGTAATTAACATAATATGTTTTCGAAATAGTGGGTATAATGTTTAATTTGATTAATAATAATAGTTTATAAAATGAAAATTGAATTATTTCAGTGTTGTATAACGGTTTTGAAATCCATACGCGTACTTATAACCCGAAGGATAATGATCTAAAAATCGTTTTTTACATTCTAAACAAATTAAATAAAACAAAAACCGACAATTCACAGGCACGATTACTTCTGCAGGGAATTGCTTCGGTTGTTTACCATTGATATTTTCAATTAATAATTGTGTTTATATTTTATTGAACAAACACTACTGGGGATTAGCGACCCAAGATATCGGCTCTTTTAGACGAACACGTGTACTCCGTGGTTGTCACCGTGCCTTTGTATTCACCACCGTATTGATCAATATCATAGCGCTCTCCTCCAAGGCAAATAACAAGTAGGTGGAAGCAGGAAAAACCACCTCCCTTGGAGAGAGATGATACAATCTGTCGTAGCTCGCAAAAGACGCTAAAAAAGAAAAAAAAAGCGCCGCGATCAACCCGGAATATTAAACTACGAAAATCGTAATCGAGCACCCGGTAAAATCTTTCGGTATATTTTCTGCACGTCTTCTTTTGAAGCGTGAGTTTTTTCCTCTCGTTAGTTTTGTGTTTCACATTTTGGTAAAATTTTAAATCTAACTTCAACATTCTGAAGGTTATTAAGTAAAACTATGAATACTTCTTATTACTAGTAGGCAAGTTGTTAACCAAGTGAACATCTGTGATCTACATTTCGGATAAAATTATGACAAAAAAAGCTTTGAAACTTCAAATATAATATAGGTAACAGATGAAGATTATTGAAAAGTTCTATCGAAACTGAATGTTTCCATTTTTATAAATATTCTGTAAGATCGTTACTCTTCGCATAATCTTTGGCAATTATTATTTTTAAATGTCTGAAGCCCAAGATTACAAGAGAATAAAAGACGAAAATCAGTTAACAGATGTATACGCAAAAAATCCTTAAAGCAATAAACGTATGACGGAAACGAATAAATTCTGGCGAATTTCAGTCTAATAACTCAAAACACTCACGAAATTATTTTCCCTATAAGATTTTTTCAATTCTTAAAATTGTCATCAGTCGTGCATTTTAAAGGATAGGGGTATAATAACAGTTTTATTTTCTTTTGTTTGGACTGATTTAGACAATTTTTGATTAGATATATTTTTTGAACGATTTGCTAATTTGGTTCAAACAGAGCTGATAAAAATGTCCAAGAGCAGTAGAAAAAAAATGAAATGTATATATTTATGGATTGGTATAAGAAGGGACGATGTCAAAACAAATCGACTAATAAAAGTCGAAAAATATATTTGTTTCTGGAGATTCCGTAAATCCAACGTAGATCAATTTAGTTTACAATATTGTTATTATCGTGATACGTTTTTCAATGTTCGGGGGAAATTTAACGCAAAAACGGACTCTCGTCCCGATAGCCGGTCGTTAATGTCGTTTGAAATCGTATATATGTAATTATTATTGTTTATTTCGTCGAGATTTATCGGGTCGGTCAGCTTTCAATGTCGGAGCGTACGCGGACCACATGACGTGACGACGTGATTTCTTCGCGAGGCGCGTTTTTAATAGAAGTCAATGCGATTTGTTGGCGCCGAACGGGCAATAACATGGCGTTTTCGATACGGTACCGTGGCCGGGTAAACGGAGGCGCGAAAAGAGGAGGGAATAGTAGGGGAGACTGTGGGTGCCATCGAAAATTCCACATATTATTATTGTATTCGTATTCAATACTCACGCCGTGAAACAGAGTTGTTTTCGCTCGAAACCCGACGACTCGAGGATGTATTATTATTATCATTGTTATTGTAATTATTATTATCATTTTTTGCGCTTTTTGTGGTACACAAAATGCGTTATATTCATTAAGAAAATATTAATAATGATAACGTGATCTACGGCGCGGCCGTGTTTAATGTTGAAATAATGCCATTAAAAGTTAAGCAAAAAAAAAAAAAATATATATATATTCTCCGTTAATAATAATTATTCTTTATTATAATATTGTGGTGGCGAGGATCATGATATTATTATTTCGCTGGCCTAAAAGTGTTTAATGTTAATGAAGGCGCTACGTATAATTTATACAATACCTGTATTGCGTACAATATAATATAAAAGTAGCTAGGTACTTTTAATTTTAATTTTTTTTTTTGTTGAAACAGGACCGAAAGTAATTGAAAAATAAAAGGTTTATTGAATGTATAATTTATGTGATAATGTATTATACTGACAGGCGAGCGAATAATTAAACGACAAATTAAGTAGCTTTTATTCCAAAAAAAAATAAATAAATTCGAAAACTAGTTAAACGATAATTGATAAAATACAATTTTAAATTACGTACATTTGTAAAACTGCGAAACAAATAAAACGCTTTTAATAATAATATAATTATAATATTATAACTATTGAATACCCTATTTTTGGTCACTACGATTATTTTTCACTGAATTACAACAAAAAAAACCAAATCGGTTTTGACAGAAAAAATTCCTTACAACCTAACGTTGCCCGTAAAATTCTCCATTTCTCATTCAGAAAAGTACAAGAAAAATTTAAAAAAAATTATTTCCGCTATGCACCAATTGGACACGAATTGTCACAAGTTATTTCACACCAGAGGATTTAAGTCCGATTTCTGGTCATAGAGTTATTAAATAGACAAATGAAACATGAATGCATCGCTGAGGATTTAAAACGTAGTAAAAATATTAACAAAGAATTCCTTAGTTCTAGTAGAAAGTATTTCAAAATGAATAAATAAATAAAGATTGCCAGTACCTAACTGATTGTGACCAGTAATAGTTTTTTTTTGTAAGGTTCTGGGCCGAGCGAGCAACACATTGGTTTAACTATGATCTATTTTTTTTATATATATATATATATATATAAACGGCTTTTCTACCGAGACCTTGTTTGTTGCATTTTGAATCTAGTAGGTGCATTAGGGAAGTAATTTCCGAAGAATGTTTTCATTTCCCAAAGAGTTTTTATAATAATCTGGAATAAGGTGGAAAAGACTAAATAGGAGTTAACTGAGTATATAGTTTTAATAGAAAATATAAATTATACACGATAATAATACTATAACATAGAAGTATTATAATAATAATCTAAATGTATAAATCATAATGCCTAATAGATTGTAGATTCGAGGCACTATAGATAATAATACATTTAAAAATTCCAGAAAAAACTTTATAAAACCTTAAAAATGGGTTTTTTGTCAGATAGTTTTTAGATTCTGAGTGGATCGAAAAAACTTATAGTTTTACAAAGATGTTTATTTTTTAATTTTATTTTGTTTTTTATCTACGACCTACTTTTCTACCAGAAAACTTATTTATATTTCTAAGTGTAGCACCTTTTCTGAAAGAAAATTTTTGTGGGAAAATACTTTAAAGAAGTCATTTTTCGATTTCCTCAAAGTTTTTAAGCAAATGTAAAAAAAAATGGTAAAAACGGGAAAATCGGTTTAATACGAAACATTTATTATAAAGAAAATATATAATGCCCATTTGATTATTTTACCATAATATAACATTCATACATTGTCTACAAAGCATCACTATCAACTAAACTCCGCTCACTGCTCATAATCGTTTTAAGTAAGCAATGATTTATTTTTGCTCACCTAATATTTCGTATTACATAAAGTGTGTCGTACTACACACAATTTTAGTCCCAGATTCAATCTATAAGTACTAATTTATGGTATTATTATATGAGGTTAGGCATATAAAAATTGTTTAGAATAATTAAAGATAACACATAGAATTCTAATTTTCTAAATTGGAATGCTGCATTTCCTTTGAATGATAAGAAATTGTTTTTTCGACAGTTAAAAAACTGAAATTTTACTTAAGAATCTTGAAATATCATCAACAAATGAATTATATGATGAATCGTCAATAAAAAAAAATTAAAAAAAGGACCGACATACTTTGTACGTGGGTGCAGCCACTATTGTAGGTGGGTAGTTGAAAAGGTAGGATACAAATGGAAATTTAATGTACGCAGCGATAAACTATTGTTAACGAAAAACCGATTCTGAGCGGAGTTCAGTTGGTAGTGACGCTTTGTCACCAAATGCGCGTTTCCATGACAAAATGAAAAAACTTACGGACATAAATAAAATAACTTGACGTAACCTACCTTTCTAACTTTCCACGTACCACAATGATATGTCCGTCGCCAATATAAGCATTTTTTTTAGTTTATTTTATAATTAATTACATCGTTTTCTAGTCAATAATTTCGTCGTTGAAGTTCTTCGTCATTTATTTAGCTGAGATAATACATGCATTTAATTTATAATCAGAATTTATTGTAAATTTTCCACAAAAATAGGGACTTTAGAAACTTTAAGTGGCTCCATCTAGCTGGAACAAATGCACTCAAATTTAGTGATTATAGTACCCAGTTTAATGATAGATCGAACTCATAAAAGTTCAGTTGAATTTTAGTATGAATTAATTTTAACATTTTTACAGACCCTCATAAATAAACCTATAAGGAAACGACATACATGAGAATAGTTTCAATATTTTTTTTGGAAGTGGCAAAATTAATTACTGCAATGAATATAAATTGAATAGTAGTAATTCTATTATGCAAATCAGTGTGGTGGTAGGGGTAAAATTTTACTATAATTACCGAATTCTACTGTTCACGTGTTTTTTTTTTTTTTTTTTGAAACGTATACATACGCGGTTCAGAATTGTAGTTGCTATTGAAATATTATATAAAATTGTAGTTGCTATTGAAATATTATATAACTACGTTCAAACAATTTTCACCTCGATAACTTAATCGAATACAATGCTTACGTCTACTCCGTTAATTGCTTAACGTAATTTAATTTTCATTTTTTAATTTCACTATTTCATCTGTGTATACACTGACCGGGTAATGTACACATTATAAGTATTATTTTAAACGCATTATTGACTATTTGCGTACAGTTAAATTGAAGTGGCTACATTAGATTAAAAAAATAAAAAAAAAACAGGAAAAGGCACATCAATACTACTACCACTGCGCGTAATACACAATGACAGACAAAAAAAATGACTCGAATTTATCGGCGTACGTCATAATTTAATTAGCCATATTTATTCCGTCATATATACTCGCTCGTATTATTTTATACAATATTACGAGCTTAATATTTATATATGTACTAGCTGTTCCGGCGTTCAAAATGATTTATTTTTCGTTATTCTGTTCGCGTGATTATATACGAGTAAAGTGGCTGTATATATTTACCTATAATAATACGAGTGCTTCTATACCGTAGCTATAATTCGATTTTCTAAAACGAAAGAAATGAGAGAAAAACTAGGACTGATAACCCAGGACGGTTTAAACCTTTAACCATCCAATGTAATTTATTGGCTTTTTAGTTGTTTATTTTTACAGTCGATAATATTTGTGGATTCGCATAATTTGCACGTTAGCGAAAATACAACCGGACATACTTTTCACCACAGGTAGGCCATTGTCTTAAATGCAAGGGTGAACAAATATACGATACAGGGCTATTTAGTTTATATACTGAAAGCAACAATAAAAATGTGAATTTAGAAAAAACTGTTAATAATCTGACCATTTTTTTTAAATTAATAAATAAATACTATCGAGCGAAAATCACTATTGATTATTAATTTAAAAGTAAAAAAAGATAGTGTTCGCTGAAAACGAAAATCAAAGTAAACTGAAAAACTACTACAATAATTTCAAATTTGATAACTGTTGATATAATAATATTAAATCTTAAAATAGCTCATCCCACGGTTTATTTGTTGCGATCTGCTGGGAATTTTTTAAATAGTTTAACGCGATATTAGAATTATCGACTAATAATATTATTTAAATAGAAAGTGTTTAGTGTTTAGGTGCATACCCGATTGCATCCGCGATGTTGCACAAATAAAAATTGTATTAATGCAATTCGACTAAAGTATAAATCCCAATCGGCTGGATTACCAAAAGTTTTAATTTTATACTGGCAGATTGGAAGCGAATGATGGACGGCCGTTCGTCCGGGTGGCCACTATACCGACAATTCTGAGCTTTAATTAGTCCTGATTTTCGATTTTAAACAAATTTACACCATATAGATAATTGTTGTTGTGATCAAGAGAACTATAATTGATATAAATATTTTATTTCAGAAAAATTACAAAAAAAAAAAATAATAATAATGAACTCGCCGAAACGATAAATTAATAAAATATTAATGATTTTCAATATTATTGTGCCATTTGATGTACCGCAGAATATAACTAAAAAGAGTAAAAATGTTTCGAAAAGACTACACATATAATGGCTATTGGACATTTGAATGGAAAGTTTCCCGGAAACTAGAATGGAAATTAAAACATCTGAAGCTCGAGCTGATGATAGTAACACATTGTGGCATATAATGTTTAGGGTCGCTGAGATTACAAAACAATCATACATTTTTCGTCAAAATGCAATTTTTATTCTTAGTGTAGAATTTTATTAAATTGAATCTACTAGGTGTCCCAATAGTCCTTGACCGTGTACATAACTGAACGAATTTAAATATCTGGTCAAATATATATACCGAAAGTTTTTGAGCTCGTCAGTTACTCTCTGGGAGATGGTAAATCGTAATCCACCACACGATTATCGTCATTTTACGAATCATATTGATTTAGTGTCATTAGCGGCGTGCAGAATTTTTTCGGGAATAATTTTTTATGAGAAATTTGAATAGGCGATATCGATTCTCTATCCTTACTCGGAACTCGACGTCTCATAGCGGTATTGACACCATGATCAGTTGTTTTATGTTTTTCTTTTTATTTCGAAATTGTATTTATGTTGATTAGTATATTTCGTGATGATATTTATATAATAATAGGCTTTTCGGCATATTTTATAATAATAAATAAATACGTAAATATTGAAAATATTTATTTCAGAGGTCTCACAATAAATAATTTAAGCATAATGCCTTCACAATAAGTTTTAAGTATATTATCTGTGCCCGAGTATACTATACGCTATTATCTATAATCTATAATCACAGTATATTATATATAATTTAACCTATATTAAAAAACACACTTATTCTTACACTTGAAATCAATATTTTAATAAACGCTTTTCATTTGTATAACGGTAAAGCCAAGATAAATAAACAAAGATTAAATCCAATTTTTGAATTTTATGCTCAAAAATGAAGTGTTGTTTAGTCTTCGTGTTCCTAAACTTTTCGTACACTTCGAGGTTAATTTTAATTAACAAATTTTCTCTAATGAGTGCATTTTTTTTATTTACCTTTAAATACTGTTGTTATATTTGAAAAAATGCCAAAAAAACATATTTAAGAGATTAACAGTTAGCCGTGCATTTCTATTTTTTTGTAATTCAATTTTAAAACAATTGTAGATTCCTGAAATATTATCACTGATTATTCTAGATTTGTTTTAATGGAGTTTTATAGTTATTTGACATCATCAACTTTTTTTTAAATTTTCCCCGAAATAGTAATTGAACTGTAATTTATTCTTTGTATGTATAACATATCAATAAACACATTTCTTTCCCAGTACATTTGGTCACATACTTGGATTGAAGTGATAAAATGTTGAATGCATTGCAATAATATGAAATTAACTATGCTGTTGCTGGATAATGATATTGTTAAGCTCTGTACACCTTTGACGATCCTCCAAATAAAACTAGGGGAGGGGAAATTTTTGTATATTTATGATGTAAGTATCATGTATGTGCCCTTTGGTGGTTTCAAATTTCACCCCTTCCCCAAACCTTTTTTATATATTTTAATGTTATCAAAAAAGTTTTAAATACTCTTACAAACTCATGAAAGCAAGTAACTTAGTTAAAGCATGTTTAAATGCATACAATTATCGTTAAGGATGTGCCTTTAGAAGGTTTGAACTTTCGATCCTAATCCTACCGTCTGACGTCTGTTTGTATGTAAGCGAAAATCATTAAAACTACTTTACTAATTCAGATAAAACTTTATTTTGTTCGATTTCTTATCATTATGTAAAAAAAAAATAAAATCAACACGTAAAATATTGCAACGGTAGCAAGTCAGATAGTGAAAATTTCGATTCTAGTACACATGTGTTTTTTTTTTATTTTTATAATTTATAACAACCGTGTTATAGCTATTGTTATGACCTACAATATTAAATTATAATTCATTTGAACTTAAACGATTATAACTTAAAAGCGTTTTAAGTTTAAATGTATTATTGTTTCGACTGCTCCGCGACAACATTCCCGGCTATAAGATTTGTGTTCACTGGTATTGTTATTCGTAGGGTCGTGTACGCATTACACAAAATATAATTACAGTTTGACGGTAGTTTATTACGATAATTCTGAAATTTCACGGGTTCTGCAATTAGTTATTATTATAATTATAGCGAATTATGGCTGATTTACGAGTAAAATCTTCTGATGGGTAAACCTTACGGAATGGATTTTCGTATTTTTCGTACGGTTTATCAGTTAGTGTAATGGGCAAATATCCGAAGACGCTCATGTGTTCACCAAGTTTGATATTTTCAAAAGTCCGTCGTTCGTATGAATTTTTATACTTGGAGAGTAGCAAGGGGCAAGAAATGTATTGATTTTACAATAATGTATTTTTATCTTTTTTTTTTTTTTTATAAATATACTGTAAACAAATTGTCTACCTGAAAATTTACTCCAATATATCAAGTACTATAAAATAATTTAAATAAATTGGCCAGTGCTTATTGATGTACATAAAAAAATTAATATTAAAGTCGGTAAAGGCGAACGGTGTATACCGTATGATTATTTTATCATTGACCAGTAATATTCTCCAGGGACTAACTCAATTAGATGTCTGGTTATTTTTCAATCTTTATTATTTTTAACCTCTACGCCTTATGTCTGACGTAAGTATCCACTTTAAATTTTCAAATATCAGCCTCGTCTCCATTTTGATCATAGATTTTAATAGAGAATATTTTTTTTTTTAGAAACATTTGTATGTATAATAGTTATAAAAGATTGACCATTCATGAGGTATAACAGTTGAACATTTATTGCAGATGAGTAGAGAAATGTATCAATTAATCATTTAAAAATAGATATGTAATTTATTACCTCGTCTCCTTATCCAGTCTAAACTTTAAACTGTTTTAACTCATAAACGATAAATCTAATATTAGTATTTTGCATTTCGAAGTATATAGAAAAATATTCTCTATTTGATTTTGAGATAAGTGTAATTAAGGAAGGTTGCTATATAAAAATCTTTAATGGATACCCATTTTAGGTAATTGATAGTAAGGATAAAATGTTTAATATCATGCCTATATAATTTGAAAAAAATAGTTTATTTAACTCTCGTTCACGGTAACACGACTTAAAAATATCATCAAATATAAAGAGTTAAGCTTTTTTTTACATTATTCACGTATTTTGGCTGAAGCTAGTTTACCCGGGATTTTACCCAAAATCACTGAATATTTCAATAAACGCGTTGATTTTCTTCAGATTACCGCCAAGATTTTCGGGAAACTCGGAATTATAAACCGTGAGTTTCAAATCACCGAAAGTTTGAATTATCGAGAGTCCGCTGTAATGATATATACGAGAACTGCAGCGAGAGTATCCGGTTTTATTGCTTTTATTATTGTTTTTCTTCAGCAGTTTATACGCATCAGGTTTTCTGTACGAACTGACATCGGATTTCGATTTAAAATCCAAAAATGGACACGGTGAGTGATAAATTTATTTTAAACCGAGAGAAACCAATCGACTGATTGGACTGACCGACGGCGACCTGACCTATACAGAATCTTTCAGAATGTTGGTAGGAGATTTATGACTTATGACGAAACGAGTTTATCTATATGCAATTTTTCGGCACTCTTAAAGTTACGTTTTTTTCGGTTCCTCGTCGTGGTGATAAAATTCAATCCAATTTTCATCTACAGCAGCTTAACTCGTATTTTATATATATATTTTGTGGTATTTCTAGGATTTCTAATCAAAAACGTAATTCTTTTCAAATGATTACTTTCCGTCACATTTTTTTACAATAGTCATAGATTAGATAGTCAAATACAATAACTTTAGTTGTTATTGGTAGATAAAATGTAACCCCCTTTTATTATAACATCGAAAAATGAATTAACAATCGTGGCAGTTTATAGGAGTGTGTTGAGAAGATGTGCTAAACAATTAACTCTAAATTCAAAGAAAATAAATTTATTTTTCAGATTTTACCATGTCAGTAATAAACGTACATAATAGATGTTACTCAATATTTTGAGTGTTAGTTCTTCCTCAACTCACCAAAAAGTATATGGACTTTTTGAAGCCATGATAAATACTTTGAAAGTGTTTTGTACGCATGTTAAGATGTATCCTGTTATTTTTGACTCAATGTTTTATGACACTGAAAGTTCCCTAGGTCGGCACATTTGGATGTAAATATATTATTATATATAAGCACGCTTGTACCTAGGTCAAGTAAGGTTCCGATGCCTATTAATTTACAGTTAGAAAGTAAATATATTTTTATTTTTCTTGTTACGGAATCACTTTATTTAACTAAGTAAAATAACAAGTTCTTTTGTGTAACGTTGTGGTGGTATGACTATGCTTTAATTATACACCGAAGTTTCTAGAAATTAAAAAGTACCTACAATTGAATACACAATACGAATAAAAATTACATTTTTTTAAAAAAAACGAGTAAATTATTGTAATAAAACGAAAAATTATTTTGACATTTGAATATTATATTTAATTTAACAAGATTTTTCCCAACAAATGTGAAAAACCGTGAAAAATCATGGGAAAACCAGGAAAAATCGGTACAATATTAAACAAACATTTAATGCCTATTTAATTATTTTACTAAAATAAGACATATACATATAAATATATTATTTAATATTGTTGACAAAGCATCACTGTCCACTGAACTGCACTCGTAAACGTTTTTGGTTTAGTAATGGCTTGCAGATATACATTAAATTACCTTTAACGGAGGCTGCACCCGTTTTCATTATCCTAGGACGTTTTTTTTACCGAACCTTATTTTTTTATTATTTCCAACGAAGTATGGATTTTTAGACTTTAAATCACTATATCGTACTTTTTCAAGCCCGTTCCTTACGTATCTTACGCGTGCATATTATACGCCGAATACTTAAATTAACAATTTCACATGCATTCGTACGTTAGGCGACGGGTTTTTCGAAACGCAAGGACAACGCGCGTGACGCGTCTCATACCTGCTTAATTACTTCCGATTAAACCGTAATCAATCCAATGAAGTTTTTAATCTGATACGAGATATTCATCTGGGTATAATGCTCAAAAACCCATTGATACTAAAGAAGCGATTTTTTCCCATATTTAATTTTAGATTCTGAGTGTAGCGAAGAATGCATTGGTTTTACTAAGATAGTTTTTTTTTTCTTTTTTTATACTGTGAACGAAAATTCGACCAGAAATCTCGCTCACATATATTCGCACAGCACTATATCTGAAAGGGAATTTTGTCCAGATGGTACTTTTAGGAGGTCATTTATTGATTTTCCAAGCGGTATTCATAATATATGGGGAAAAACAGGATAAAACATAAGAAAAAGTGGACATTTTCGAAAAAAAAAGGTTTTATTATTTTTTAATCTGTTGTAATTCAGCTAAAAATATTCGCAGACTTGAAATTTGAACGGAAAATTTATACTTGCCTTTTCTAATCGAGGTAAAAATTTTAAAATATGTAAGCATTTTTTGAGGTATTGATAGGCAATTATTAATTAGACAAAATAGACAAAATTAATTTTGAGAGTTTTGTACAAAATATTGATTCGATAGGAACTCGGTGGTAAAATTAATAGACTTGAACATAATGAACCAAACTGCGCTCAGAATCGTTTTTTCGTTAGCAATGGTTTATCTTTGCTTACACATATACATTCAATTTTCCTATTACAGTGGCTGCACCCGTCTCTGTTATCCTAGGATGTCTTTTTCAATTTTATCTTTATATATTCGACATAAATTGTGTCATATAAGATATTGTAATTATTCAATTAGAGTATTTTACATCGCAAATGTCGAAAATATCAAATTAAATTTAAAACGTTTAAAATTATGTTAGGTCTATGCCCAAAACATATATTTTCCAAAAGCGTGTGGCACGAGTACAGTAAACTGTATCACAGACACTGCGTGACGCAGGCCGATATTGGCACAATACTTTTCCGCCTTGCCTTCCAATATGCGCTAGTATATTCTGACTAATAGATTACAGACAATCATTCTGCGCTGCGCTGCGTCTCAATGTGCGCCCGGCCTGAAACATGATCGAATGGAATCGCTCATGTTATTATATGTCGAACAGGAATTAACGGCCAATGTTGAAACTTCTGAAGTTACAGAAGAGTTTAAAAATATTGTGGCATTTCAAAGACGATTGTTATTTTTAAGTAAAACCAATCATTGCGTTAAATAAATTACACAATTATTGTAATCAAAATAAAATTATAACTAGTGTTGCTTTAATGTGTTTAATAATCAATCATTATCAACAATACACACATATCACATAATTTACCGTATACTGCCAATAGCCATACAAGTAAATGATATACAATAATAGGTTATAGTATTGATTAGTAAACAATTGTTGAATACGTAAAATATTTTACCTTTTGTGTATTTTATATACCGCCTTATGGAAGAATAATGTATAAAGCTAATGAATTTGTTTATAGTCTTCCCTCTATATTATAAAAAATTAACTACATAAAAGGCTGGGCACACTCAAATGTAAAACTGTAGGTCCGCCTATGTCGGCGATGTGCTGGATTTTAGAAAAGTTTTTGGACATTGAAAGCGGAGAGTTTGCACGATTTTTTTTTTGTTACACACCCGACGGTTTATAGAACGCCATCTACTGGTCGGCCGAGAACGCTACTGCTAGTTGAATCATTCGCGGATAGAACATTCGTCGGTCGACTACACGAGCACCATTTTTCCCACGGCCGTATAAACGGCTCTTTTTTGTTGCACAGTTTTACGGAAAAGATGGAATTTTCAATTTACTATTTTCGTGTTGGATACAATAATACGGTCTGCACCTCTAAAGAAACGAACCGAAAAAAATGAACAGGCTTAATCAGTTACGATTATTTATCCCCGTGAAATTTTATCAATTTTATGAAGGGGGGTAAATATTCGCCAGTTATATTTTACCCCAAATAATTTTACGGGGAGGTAAATATTCTCTAATGAAATTTTATAGGGTATGAAATTGTACTGGAGGTAATCTATATTTCACTATAGATAGTTTACTAGCTATTCCTAACTAACGACTATTACTGCTAAATTTTATGATGGTTTTAGATTCTGAGTGATGCGAAGTAGCTCATGGTTTTACAAAGATGTTTTTTTTTTTTTATCTTTGCGCAACTTTTCTAAAGAATTTCTCGGATTTCTACGTGTATCATTTTTTCTTAAAGGAATTTGACTCGGGGGGGGATACTTTAGGGAAGTCATTTTTGAGATATCTCAAGAGTTTTTCTAGAAAATGTGAAAAACCGGGAAAAACGTCTAGGTAAATTAAGAAAATCGGTACAACATTAAACTGTTATTATAAAATAAAACATATAAAACCTATTTAATAATTTTACTATAAAAAGACCTAATATATATATGGTAGATATTATATATTGTTGACAGTGCGTCACTATCAACTGAACTCAAATTAGAGTAGTTTTTTTTTTGTAAGCAAAGGTTTTCCGTTGCTTACAAGTATACAATAAACTATCTAAAACAATGGCTGCACCCGTCCCCATTATCTTAGAACTTTATGTTTTCAATAACTTAATTTATTCATTAACCTCTTAAATTAAACCTTACAATAATTGTTTTTTAGACTTTTTTGACACCTTGGTGGAACTCGTACATAAATAGTATAAAAAAAAAAAAGTTATATCAAATAACTACTTTAAATAAGTATAGAATTATATTATTATAAATTTGTTTGTTAACAGTCAAATTATTCATCACTGCTTATGTATGAATATATAAATCAAAATAATGATAATTTTTTTAGGTAGAAATAACGCCCACGAAATTATTTTACCATTATATGATATACTCGTATTTCCAATCAATTTTGATTAATAAATAACATTTATTTATTTAAAATATTTAAATGATTAAGAGTAATTTAAAATTGATACTAATACGGCTATAATTGTTTCGCGGAAGCAATGCGTCGTGCGATAAATGACGTCATCAACTGTTAGTCAGCATGCGGTAAAAATGCAATTTTTAAAAAATTTAATTTGCTATTAACATGTAATTTTCAAACAAATTAATGCTATCCAATGACTAAAATGTATATTAACAAATATATTTACATTATGTTTGCAAAAAAAAAAATGTAGGTTCCTCAATGAATCTCAATAGTTGATCCTTTAGCTAAAACCGCCCTTAAAAGACTATATAAAAAAATAACAATGTACAAATCATTTAAGGTGTTAATAAATCAGAAAACGTTAATTTTATACATTTTCCTCAATTTTGAATATTTATTTGATAAAATGGCTATTATATTCTATACCTATGTAGGTATACCTATTATATAGAGTGTGATTCGTAAATTTCGTATCATATGATGTACAGGTACCTACTTATATTATATTATAATTATAGTCCGTATATATATGCTCTTAAAACACCCAAAATATGATGTTAATTTTCTCTAAAAAAATTACAAATATTCTTCTGTGTTCTTTTAAAAATCAAAAAATATACGCAAAATAAACAATGAATATCAATACTAAAAAACAGATGGTTGATAAACGATTCGAAAAATATTTTTTCAGATGTCTAAATATTAATATTAAATAAATAAATCATCATTTAAAATTACAATATATATTAGTATTTATTTTTCTCTCCAAAATATGCTAAGTATACTAAACGGTTTTTAATCCTTGAAATGTTCTCAAGGTACGCAAAAAAATACTTTTCCTGTAACCTCTGTGTTGAAAAAATCGTCTACATTTTTTTTACTCTTATTAAACTGCATATATTCACACATGATATTTAAAAACATAACAATCAGGACTTTAATTATGTTAAACTGTAAAATTAATTTAGAGTAATACAGGTTAGGAAAATATTTTGTAGAAAATAATGTAAATAACCCTGCACGCAGAGCCGGATTAAGAAAATGGGTTTAAGAGAACAATAGCTCGGGGTCCTTCGAAAAAGAGGATAAAACAAAAAACGTGTGGAATTTAAATTTTCATATGATTATTTCAGTACCTAATAATAACAGAACACAATATTTTATTCATTTTTTTTTTCTTTCAAAAAAAGGAGACGAAAAATAATACTCCTGACGTGATCATGCTACTATTGTGGTAGGTGTTTTTTGGAAAGGAAGTATACGTGTATAGTTTTATTTAATTTTATATGCAACGATAAGTCATTGCTAACGAAATACGATTCTACATGTGCGAAGTTCCGTTAAACATGTTTAGAAATATCGTCATATTTACGATTTTCATCAATATTTCAACTCAAAACAAGAAAAACTAATCAATTAGTTATTTAACCTAAATAACCTCAGAACTTGAATAAAACAAATCCAATATTATGCAATAATTATGCTCTACTGTTTTTTTTTTTTTTCGTTATTATTGTTATTAAGTATAACATATTATAAACAACGTCTAATACATTTTCAAGAATTTCTGCTCGCCCAAATTTTATCGATATAAAAGTTAAGAAAAATATAAAATGCATATAAATGTATAAATTGAAATTTTTGATTTCCGTCAAGCCGTTCACGATATATTCCACTTTTAAGTGTAGGTGGGGGAAAAGTAGTGAAGAAACGTTTGTGTGGCGGTGAGCACGCTTAGTTTGGATAGTGCTCCACTACTTTCCCAGTCCCCCCACCTAAACTTAAAAGTGAATATCTCGTGAACGGCTTGACAGAGTTTCAACACCAAAAAGTATTTTGATTTTGACTAATATTTCGTCTATTTAAGGTATTTTCATTATAAGTTGTAATTTGAAAATCATAAGTTGGTGGTCGTTTCACCCCCCAAAAAATAAGGGCGAAAAAAATGATAATGTACAATTTTTAAACTAATTGTTTCGTATGTATTTTTCGGAATATTGCAATGGGTACATTTTGGTAGGACACCCTGTTTATATGTAAGTGTATGTTGATATTGATGCTTTGTCAACAATATATATGTTATTTTATAGTTGAATAATTAAAAAGGCTTTACATTTTCTTTAATAATAATTGTTTAATGTTGTACCTTTTCCCAGTTTTCCTACGATTTTCCCGATTTTTCACATTTTCTGAAAAAACTCTCGAGAAAATTGAAAAACGACCTCCTTAAAGTACCTCCCTTCGCCAATTTCCTTTCAGAAAACGTGCTACACGTAGAAATCCGAGCGAGTTTTGTTAGAAANGATGGGAGCGGCCACTGTTGTAGATTTGTAGATGAGAAGTAGGGAAAATAGGATAAATAAGGTTATTTCATTTACATCTGTAAGCAATGATAAACCATTGCTCGACAAAAGACGATTCCAAGCGCAGTTTGGTAATACATAATTTGAAGTGCGGTGATTTTTTTTTTTTACAATTTTCGTTTAAATTTGATTTTAAAATGCTTATTAAAAAAAAAAAAGTGGTCCGATGATTTTGGACATTTTAACACGTTTAGGTAAGTCTTATATAAGTACAATTACCAAGTTTCGAGTATCTATGTTTATTTATAACCGAGCTACAGTGAAAGATTCTAAAAAAGATAAAATTCCTTAAAAGTTCAAAAGTGGCTCAAAAGTTTTGACAATCATTTTTATGAAATGATAAAATCGTGAAATTTTACGTTTTCCTAAGTTTTTTCCCACTTAAGTGTTTGTTTTTTTTTAAAAAATTGCCTCGAAAATCAAAAAATTATTTTTTTAAAGTACAATCTAGACAACTCGAGCTTTCAGAAAAGTGACTGCGCGTAAATATTGGAGCAAGTTTACTAGGAAAAATGTGTCTACAGACTGGACCAAAGAAAGAAAAAAAAATGATAACTCGAGAATTCATGTGTTACCTAGCAGGCGCAGAACAATAAAATTCGGTCATCAGTGGTTGTTTTGGGAATCACTGTCAATTAATTGTCAACTAGTTATACCTTGTACGGTAGTTAATCGAAGGATGTAAAAACGGATTGCCGGAACCGAAACATAAACGACGACGTAGCGGTTACGTGTCCGGAGCTTTTACCGACACTTAACCGGATATTGTAGGAACGAGCCTTACTTAGTCTCTACAAATATTTTTAACCGAATCACAATGAATGAAAACAAAATTTAAAGTAACGAAACCGTTATTTCCGCGATATTTCCCTGAAACCGCGTGAAACTGAGCCGGAAACAAAAATAACCGCACGGTTAGCGTATGACGCGCAGCGGTGAACCGCAAAGCCTACCGAAGCTAACCGGGGCTTACCGCAGTCACCAAAGCGGCGGCACGCGAAAACACTTACAACGTGAGTCACGTATAACGGACGGCCGGCCGTCTGTGCCGAAACAAAATACAAATATAAAAAGTTATTGCGTTAGTTTAAGTAGGTTGGGTAAAAACAAAAACCCATTGTAAGATTGGAAAAAAAAAGAAAGAAATGAAATCGCGTCGGCCATCTTGATGAAGCTTAAACGATAGTAATATGAAATTATGGTCTTTGGTTACTCACCGGCAGCAGCGAAATCGACGCGGGCGCACTTTCGTCCCATCGCAGACGAACTTCGGTTTTCGACAAACGGTTGTCACGGCGGCACGCATACCGGAATATTTAACGTGATTGACGCCGGTTCGCCGGTAGAACGTAAACGGAACGAAGGCGGGAAACGACCGAAAGCCGCGACGCGCACTCGGGACGGAAAAAAAAAAAACCGACATCGTGCTTATGACGCGTACGCGCGAAAAATTTACGACGACTGTTATCGCGGTGTTGCGCGTACGTCGTCGCGACCGCGCGACACGAACTTTGGAACGTAGGAGCGGTTACGGTGGCGGTGTGAGGAGGATAGGGGTGAGATGGGGGGGGGGNGGGGGGGTTGAGACGAGTTACGAACGCCACGGACGTTTGGCTTTTCCAATCGGCAACGCCGCGGAGAATAGATACGCGCGTACCGCTTTTGACGCGACCCAAACTCCCCGGACGCTGTAGTATCCGTATGCGGTATACGCGCGACACGAACTTTGGAACGTATGGGGCGGTTACGGTGGTGGTGGTGTGTGTGTGTGTGTGTGGAAGGGGTGGGGGAGAGACGATTTACGAACGCCACGGACGTTCGGCTTTTCCGATCGGCATCGCCGCGGAGAATAGATACGCGCGTACCGTTTTTGACGCGACCCAAACTCCCTGGACGCTGCAGCATCCGTACGCGGTATACGCGTACGCGAAAACCGTAACAATTACTGGAAAACGCACGTTGGCTGTACTGCCAAAGAAAAAAAAAAAAATCGCCAGTCGAAGTGGTCGCATCTCCTGTCGGCGCACCCCGTTGGTCAGTTTTCGTTGACAACTCGGAATCCGACGGCGACTGTGCGCGCGCGCGTGACAACAACCCGTTTTCTTTTCGTTCGTTTCGATTGCGACGAACTCGGCGGTCCGCGTCGTCGATCGCACCGAATTGTTACAATCGTTTTTCGAGAAACCGTCGGCGGCCTCGGCAGTCGGGTGAGTACATAGAAAATTAATATTATTTTCCGAGAAAAACGGCCGCCGCGACGTTCGCGTTTTCGGCCGTGGCGGACGTAAAGTCATGTTGCTACCGTTATCATTGTAATCATCGTCGGTTATTCGACTGCGGGTTTTCATATATCTGCGTTCGAATAAATGCCGATGGGGCCATCACAATTATTACCAACTAGGTACTAACCAGGTGTTTAACGTGCCAGTAACGCTGCACACGGACGTTCCGTGAAGTTGCAATAGCAACTGTAACGCGCTTGTGTTTTGTGTCGGATATTACCGGTCAATATAGATTGACGTCCAGACGACGCGTGTCCCGTGATTACTGTCTCGCGTCGTATTATTGTACATAATTACGAGTAAGGTTAACGGTCTGACGGTCACGCGGGTTTTTCCAATGTGGGAAATCTCAATAATTATCGTTTATTCTCCACGCATAACAACGAGACGGTCCGACCAAATGATAAATACAAATGAATTACAAAATTATTTTAATGCGAAATTGCCGTCAAACGGATTTGTATAGTAAACGGGAAACATCGTCGTTTTTGACGAAAATCACTGTCGTCCGGCAATTAAAATACACAACATCAACTACAGGCGAGACAAACATTTTTCCGCCGGACGACATTAAAACGCCGGGCGGTTTATTATTAGTCCAAATGTCCGCCGAACCGCGGAACGACCGAACGTCGTCGCCATCTTGAGCCACGTTCGCCGCGCGGACGCCACCCCGCGTCGCGCGTCGGCCGGTTCGCGACCCCGCGGATCGCGTTCGCCGCGTGTGTCGCACGGCCGTCTGCCATTTGCCGGCGCACGTTCGCCGCACGCTGCAGCGTTTCATTACCGTTCAAACGGCATTACACCGACGCCGTGCGCCGTGCAGGTCCGATTTACGACGAGCGCAATATCACAACCGCAATGTGGGTACCACGGATAACCGAAGTTACCGCTTGTTACCATACAATTGAAAACATCCAACCATTCGCCGTGCGTTGGTTATTAACGGTGTCGCGTATGATATCCACGGCGATTTCTGATTTCGGCCGTTACGCTACCCGCGGCAAAACAGTTTTGTTATTATTATTCATTCTGCCGTGTTCGTCCTTTTGTATCGTCGTCGATCTAAAACAACTGCCAATATTATAATTTCTCTCTTATGCAATTTGCATTGCTCATGATCCGTTCCGTATTTTCGTTTGGACGCGGCTACTGCGCAGTGACTAACGAATGTTCAATACAAATATATTACACTTGTTTTTTTCGAACTTCGTATTTCGAACTAATTAATAATCCGACGTCAACCTATGTTTATTTACGTTTTTATCATAGGTCCGATTTTGATAGGTAATCACACATCGCGGTAACCCGGTAAAATATCGTTAGATATTGCACGGTAATGCCGCATTTAGAATTAAGGTACGCGAGCCGCCCCTGCCGCCGCGATTGGATTAGGTTGCTGACGCGGTTAGTCGATTACTTATTCAATTACTTACTTCGCACATATTTTTTTCTTTTAGATTCGGTTCGATTATAGTTATTGCAATTACCGTGAATTATTATACGTTTAGATGGCAGGTCGACGACGGACGCATGGCGTCATATCTGAAATGGCAACCCACGGAACGGTCGTAGTATTTGGAATGGAAATATCAGCGCGACGACCCATTTTTTTCTCATAAAAAATTCCAAATGTTGAAGGAGAAAAAAGAGTCGTTCCAAAATTAGCGGTTCCAAACGTTGTCCTTCTAGTTTTTCTTTTCGTTCCGATTTTCACCGTTCCATTTTTCGGCATTTCTTCTCTGCGATGCATGGTAACCGCATACCGTCTACTCGCACGCATGCTTACGAATGTGTTTTTTTGGTAAAATTCGTGTAAAATTTTCAAAACGTTTTAGCAATTTTTATAACAATTCATGTAGACATTTTAATTTAGCGAGTTTTTTACGTAACATCTATTCAGTAGGTACTCTATGGATAAAATTGATAGACTAAACAAAAATATTTGAAAATTGAATAAAAGGTTCGTCGTAATTTGTGCACCACTCAGAACCCGTGAAAATCGATATTAACTACGATGGTGCTAATGTAACGTTACACCGGCACCTCACTTTTTGTACAACACACCTATTCATTTAAAAGGGAGATATTGTCATAGGCGCAATTTCAGATTTTAACTTGGAGGGGCTCAATATTTTTAAATGAAACAGATCCACATCTGCCCCCCCCACACCCCCCCCCACCATTCAAATACCAAAATCATAGTTTTCTCACCAATTTTCCTGCATAAATTATGAATCCATTAATAAAACTAAGAATATTTATATTAAAACAAATAACAATATTTAGGTATTTAAAAACATAACATATATTTATTAGGTATATTATAATTGTAACCGTCGATTCGAAATTGCAAACTTATCCAAAATTTGTTCGTTAGACAAGTCATTTGACAAATCTCGTTCTATATAAATTATTGATAAATTGGTAAATCTATCTCGATTCATCGAAGTTCGAAGCCAATTTTTAATCCTCCTCATTGCTGAGAATGACCTTTCTCGTGTCGCAGAGCTGATTGGAATTGTTAATGATAATTAATTATCATTTATTTTTATCCATTATAACTAAGGGTTTTTAATAATAGCAGAACGACACTTCGAAATAAGTATATTACAAAAACGAAATATNTAGATATTAAGACCTAATAAGTGGGATTTATTGTGAACATCAGAACCAATTCTAAAAATACACCATTTACTATCAGTTTATTGACTATTGAACACGGTCTCCTGGAAGGGTGGGGTATACGGTACCTACGCACATTGCATATCGCATACGGGCATACGTAGAATAGAAATGAAAAACAAGCCGACCCGCAGTGTACCCCGCCGCTCATGGGAGTAAAAGTTTTTGTAATATGGGTAATATCCACAAAGCCACAAAGGACCAACACCCAAGGTTTATAGATAATAATAATCTATAAACCTTGCTAACACCATACATATATTTTATGTATTATATTTTATTTTATATTGTATATATTTTCTATGACTAACACTATGGTCGTTGCACGGGCTCGTTTCCATTATTTCCATGTTTAAATTTTAGAAACTATTTTTTTCAAACAACGTTTAACATATTATGTAGATTAGATAATTAATGAAGCATTTAATACTTAAATTTAAATACAAATTTTTGGAGGGGCTAATTTTAATATTGGAGGGGCTAAGACCCTCCAAGTGCCCCCCAAATTGCGCCTATGGATATTGTATGTTTATATATTATAATATATATATCGTTCACACAAGTTATACCAAATTATTTTACTATTTTGTTTTTTTGTTGAAATTAAGTTAAAAATATTCGTAAAAACTTGAAATTCTGACAGGAAAACATATATTTGCCTTATATAGATGTGGTAAAATGTTCAAATCCTTTGGATCATTTTTATGAAATTTAAAGATATTTTCATTTTGCGAGTTTCTACGTAATTTTTATTTGGCAGGTACTTAGTCCATGGAAAGAATTATTAGACTAAATAGAAATGCTTGACCATTTGACATGCGATTCATTATAAGTTGAACTTAGTGGTAAAAAAAAAATTGATTGTTATGTAATTTTTTTTTATAACAGTTTTAAAATCAAATTTTGACAAAAATCGTAAATTGTATGGCTTTTAAAAACATATAACACTGATCTTTTCTTTGAATCGTTTTTCGTTAGCAATAGTTTATCATTGCTTACAGATATCAACTAAACGTATCCACTCATAACAGTGGCACATCCGTCCCCAATATTAGCTTTTGTCTAGATTCCGAGTGGAACGAGGAATGTATTGATTTTATAAACATTGAATAAACAGTTTAATTGTTTTTTTCTGTGGACAAATTCTACCAGAAATTTTGCTCCGATTTTCAATGATAATGGATACTTTTCTGAAAAGAAATGTGACTAGATAGGTGCTTTAAAGGGATCATATTTTGATTTGCCCAGGAGTTTTCCCAATCAATAGGAAAAACCGGGAAAAAACATAAGAAAAGCACGGAAATAGGTACAATTAAATTGAATATTTTCAATTTTCTTTGAACATTTGAACATTTTAATTTTATTATAATATTATTAATTTTTGTGGTCGTTTAGTTGGTTTCATTGCATCACAGCTATTCATTTTGTTGGTTATCAATGCTTGAATCTAATATAAATGATAATAAGTACATAATAACAATGATTATGTAGATACAATTATGAGTTTATGATTGTTATCGTTATGAGACATGAGTGTTTTGATTATTGATAATTTTTACATTCAACAATGACATAGCACATTAAAACTACATGAATGAAAACGTTATGAATGACCATTGACACAAAAAAGATAAATGATTAAAATTACAATTTAACTTACAAGATTACAGAAAATACATGTTTAAATTGATAGGTATATACACTGGAAAAACCACATGCTATAGGTTAAGGTTTAAAATTAAACAACATGCTTAAAATTATACAAACACGTATAATAATATTATTATTACCCATAACTTATAATCAAAATAAAATAATACAATTTTTATTATTATTGCCTATAACATAGTTAAAATTGGTTACGAGGTAGATTCATCAAAATAAATGATAATTATAACATATCTGTTCTACAATTCACTACCGGTGCAACTTGATATACTTAATTTCCATTGAATTCATTTTTTTTTAATCGATGCTTAATTTTTTTTCTACCTGAACGATATTATTATAATATAAATAATAATATTTCCCTTATTAATGTTCTGTTGGTACTTAATATTTGTGTTAATGAATTGATCGAACAATAATGTATTGTATAAACTCCCATCGAAGCACAATGATATTTTATTTTAAAATACTCAATATACTAAAATATCCGACGGATAAAATACAAAAATTCGCATAAAAATGTAAAATTACTAATATAGTAGTTTATTTTATATTTATTACCTAATCACATAGTTATGAAAAAATAAAAAATAAATCTTTTCTTACATTGGTTAGTTTTAATAAATGAATTCGATTTTCGATTTCAAATATCAGACCAAGCAAATTTTCAGGTGGTGTAAAAATTCGGAATTTGCAATTACAAATGTGAACAAATAGAATAGCAATTGTTGGTGCAAATTTTTTATCGAAATTCCAAATTGAGGGTGCTAATGGCCATTCTTTGTAGTATACAAAAAAATTGAGTTTTATGTAGAATTTTTTCATACAGTTTTTAAAATCACATATTCGACAAAAATCGTAAATATAACGACGCCTTTCAAAATATATGTAACCGAACTTTGCTCAAAATCGTTTTTCGTTAGCAATGATAAGTCGTTTCGTACAGATATAAATTAAAATATTCTCTTTAATGACTTTATATCTTGTTATCCTAATTTCTCATTTACAACAGTGGCTCATCCATATGTGGCAAAATATGTCCGTCTTTTTGTATTCATTTCAGTCTTTATTTATTTACTGTCTACCATCAATTTATTAAATTTAATAACTAGACGGAATTGACCACTAGAAATTACCTTTAAAGTTTCGATAACCAGAGCAAAATTTTCTCGTAAAAATAGCACATACATCGTAGTAAAATCGAAACTAGAAAATTTAGAACAGTACACATGTAGGAGGCAAGTGCACCACTGAAATATATATGTATATATATATATATTTATCTTTTTGATATTTTTTTTACTTAAATGTATTTATCATTTTAAAAAGTAGTAGATATAATAAAAAAAAAGTTCGGTTATATGCATGTTTTGAAATGCCGTAAATCTTAAAACGCTCATAAAAAAACTACTATACTACGTTCGATTTTTTTTTTTTACTACTAATTAAGCTTATAATGAATATCGTGTTAAATTGTAAGTATTTCTAAGTGATCAAATCACTTTATCTATATAATACATAATATACCGAATAAAACTAAAAACTATATCGAAGGACAAAGAAATTGACAAAATCAGAGTTATACCGATCGTGCTACTAACACACGCATTAATGAAATTTGCAGGTTATATTGATGATAGACGTTTATGAAACCACAATAGATATTTTTCGATAGGTAATATACTATAAATAGAATTACTTTTGATAGATTTTAATTTTGAACATGTACCTAGTATTATGATTCTGTGCTTTACTAGGATACAATAATGGAGTTAATTTTCAATTTTTTATTATCATTGTCGTAAGTAAAAAGTAAAATACTTTAATTGCAATTTTGAACATATTTTCAAAAATACAATCGAATTTGTCTACGATTTCAAGTTAATAATGATATTTTTATTTCCAACATATTTCTAGTCAAGAACCTAAAAACTCATAATTCGTTTTCAAAAATTCATCAAAAACAATTTTTACAGTTTTGCCTGGCTTTTAGCTCTAATTCGACTAAATAAACACAGTCACCAATCCTATTAGTATAATTTATAATTTATAATAATTAATATAATTATTTCTTTTTGTCTCTATTAAACTAGTGATTCATATACACGATTGAGTTTAAACAATGACTAACAATGTATCGCACGATAAAAATTAAAAACTTTTGTAGTGAATAAAAGACCTAACCTAACCGTCGTCGAGGTATAATTTAATAAAAATAACAAAAAGCTGATACTGGGGATATACTCGTATATTACATATATTGTTGACAAAGCCACACTATCAGCTGAACTCCGCTTGTAATCGTTTTTTCGTTACATATATCAGTTGAACTATACAGAATGACATTAAACGTCCATAGTAAATTAACAATGGATAATATTGTAAGCAAAGTAAAGCGCTATCCATATAATAGTAATATATATATTTAACGAAATAACTGATAATGAAAATTATTTTTAAAAAAAAAGTGAAATTTTACCGGGGGATGTAAAATTTCACCCTGTAAATAATCGCGGGTACAATGGTCTACGGGATATGAAAATATCTCGGACTTGCGTGCAACAAGTAACCCAAACAGGTATAGCATATTTCTACGGATCAGTGCGTGTTAATTTCAATGACTTTATGTTATAATATTGCCGAGCCACCAATAAAATTTGACCTTGAAATATAATGAATATATATTATATATATATATATATGTTTATATTAATATAATTTAATAAAAAAAAAAAAAACAAACAAAAAAAAGACAAGACTGTATTTTCTTTGACGTAACCGTTATTGTCTATCTCTTAAAAATTGTCCTCGTATAATGGCTGAAAAAAAAAACCAAAACAGTTTCACCGACAGTCTTAAAGGATATAATCTCTGGATTGCGAACAAACGGGTACCGTCGGAAAGACCGTTTCGGCCAATTATAAAATATTATGAATAGTGTCGTAATTTGCGTATGTTGATCCATCGAGACACACGTGCAGTGTGTGCAGGAATCGCCGGACAAATATTATAACAATTATAATATCGTATAAGTTACGAAAACAATACGATAGTAAATGTTTACTTTATAGTGACACATTCGAATGAATAATATTCAATTTTTTATTTTTCCCCTTTCAACAAATAAAATGAACAACGTCTGCCGTAAATATTATCGAAACCTTTATTATAGTTTATCGCTGTTGTTTTATATTTCGGCACACCTTCGGTGCGTAAATAAAATAATTACAAAAGAAAACTCCGCCTGAGTAGATGTTTGAAATTCAGAATACATGGGAATACGTGAAAAAAAAACAAAACGATTGATCTTCATAATGTCACGACGACGGTAATAATAATTTCGTCCCGTAGAAATCCCGGCATTTCGGCGAATCGTACGCGGAAATTTCATGTTACAATAACAGGTACTAGGGAGAAGAAATTATTTAACAGCCTTTCGTTTGAATTAAATGATGAAATATTTACGGTGGTTTTTACTCGAAACGTTTTATTTTTTTTGAGGGTACATAATAGATCCTTTTTTACGCGTAACCAAGGAAACCAGGAAACTCATTAAAATTAAAAAAAACAGAACTTATTATTTACGCCATGGGTGGTGGGGAGTTTTGAAACGTATAGATATTATTGTTGAGTAAATTATTCTTTGAAGTACTGAAACCAACGATAAAAAATGCCGTTATAATAATAATTATAAAAAAAAAAGAGCAGAAGTCGGTAAACTGATAATAGGTAAAACGCAATGTTCGGTACGAACGTGTAGAAAACAAAACCTCTGAGTTAATTAATTTTTCAACTACACAATATTAAATAAAGGATTAAAAAATAAGACGTCTTTGCAGTATGGAATTCTTTCAAAACTGACGTAAAAATCAGAAATTTATTGAGAAGTAGAACTAACCCAAAGTATAATTTAAAGCGATTCACATATTAACTGAAAAGTATTTGTTTTTGTTACATTTAGCAATGCAGATTTCACTAAATTAAAATTTTTTAAATAAAACCACAAAATTGATTTATACAATAATTATGACAGTGTTATTTACCATTATTATTAGATAAGATAATGTAGATCTCATTATTTTTCTTGAATAGTTTGCGTATTTTATAGCACATATTATAACTGTAGGAAACGGCTACGTATGCATTTAAAATCAACAAAATACAATTTTAAAAATGCGAAAAAGCCTTAAAAAAATGGTTATCGAATATTTAAAAATTCAAAAGTGATGAATGGGTTAAAAACCCTTAGAGAGGGGAATTTCTAAATCCATCATTCACTTTTGATTTTTCCCAAATATGGATAAGTAATTTTTCAGTACTTTTTGACGATTTTAATCACTTTTTAGCGGATTCTATGTCAATAAAAAATCTGGTACAAAAATAAAAAATTTATCGTGGCTCAAAGAAACTGTAGTCGGCAACTGACAGGTTAAATTCGGCCCAAGTGAAAGTTTTTTGGCCTCTAAGTCTATAACATGCGCAAGGGTAACATATGGACTAACGGCATGATGAAATTAGAGTTAAGTAGTTAGCTGAAATGACAAAAACTAAAGATATTATTCGTACATGAGACAAGTATAAAAAACTAATTCTCTCTTCTCATTAAAACGTAATGTCTTGGAAACGATAAACGTAACTTAAAAGTGGTGTTTCATCACGGCACTGCGTTGGATCGTAAAAGCCAACAGTCTTCTCAATTACAATGTTGAATTTCGAGTCAACACAACCGTTGTAAAGCGAATAAGAAAACGAGTGATATACTTTTACCATACTTTTACCGTATTAAAAAAAAGTCTTTATTTAATTTCGTTTTATTACAATCATCCATCGGTTCTTGTTAGATCGTCTGTTGCTATTATTCCGTTTTCTTCACTAAACTATTATAGAGCAATATTATTATTTTAAATGCAGTTAATGAATGCTGATTCTACCAGTATGGGGGAAAAAACCGTACGTAGGTAGGTCCCTGTTGTAGTTAGGGAGTTAACTTTTAACTAAGTATTTTTTGTAGGACATAGGGCAATATATTAGTTTATAGGTGGAAATCAATGATAAATAATTTTAATAGAAAATCAATTCTGAAGGAAGCTCAATAAACTGTTATACGTTAAGACGTGTTTGTTTTCTTTGTGACTAAGGTAACCCAGAAATCAACAACAATGTTAAAACCTATGCATTGCCATTTGTCCGCAGTTTCAGTTTACATGCGAGATCGCATTTTTCAGTTATATTTTAAAATAAATTATTATATTTATTCATTTTTTTGAGAGTGAAAAAGAAAAATGTCAAATTGATGTAATTTAAATAGATTGTAACATTTATTGATTGAAATAAATAGATTGAAATATTTTGTATTTAACACCAATGATAAAAGAGACGCACGGATAGCAATCAATTAAATGTATTAACAATTAACTGGATCTATCAAAAGATGTGCAAATTGTGAGTTATTCTTCTGCAAATAGCGATTAAATCGATAGATCTCAAACTTTTTTAAGCCGCACAAAAAAAAAATATATATTTAACAGTAACGTTTTTTAAAATTTCAGATTTTTAAGTAAATTGTTATTACATGTTGTATATAATATTTTTCCAAATAACGGTCAGAATAGTTTTCGTTTGCGAAGATTTATCGTTACATACATTTTACATGAAAATAAAAAAATCACGTAAACTATAAACGATTAATGCATTATCGTTTTTGCATTTCATTAGTCACAGTATTTTAACGACGGCGTTTCGTATCGGCAAATGTGATACACCCGCGTGTCGTAGAGAATAAATATTCCTACTTAATTTATTGTATCTCTAAAAATATAAAAAAATAAAAATATTTTAGCTACTTTTGGCATTTTGAGTTTATTTTGATGTTTAATATGGTAGGTATTATAACAATGTGAATTGTTTGAACAAACAGAAATGCTTGAAAATTTAACATAGAATTCGTTTTAAGTTTTACTAAGTAATAAAAAAGTTCAGTTTTTTTTCAACAAATTTTTCTTAAAACATAAATTTTTTTAATCAAAATCGTAAAAATGACGGTATTTTAGTTTTTATTAGGTATAAGGGTAAAATTGATTTACCAAACAGAATAACTTGTTAATTCAACACAATATTCATTATGAGTTTTACCTATAATTGTACTTTTGTACCTTTCTCACATTTAATCTAAAACAGTGACACATCCGTCAAAAGTATCAGTTCTGTAGAGGTTAGAGTATATTTAATTAGAGAAGAAATTAAAATCGTAATCTTTCATTATATATTACTTTTAATTGCAATAAATAAAACAGTTTAAAAATAGTATACAATTACGATTTTATAATGTACAAGAAATGATCGCCTGCGGACGCTGCGAGATTACGAACGGTTCGTGACGGCTTTAACGGTTCAGTGCGGACTAAATCAAATTTTATTAAAAAAAGTTAAAAATAAAATTTTACCTTCAAACTCTCATAAAAAAAAAAATTAAAAAAACTACTAAATCACGCTCACGATTGTGAAATGTCTAGAGGTGAATCAGTGACGGTGATGTGGATGGCGATGATATGACCGGGTCCGTGAACGAATCTCAGATCTAGACATGGATACTCGTATGACGCTTTTACGTCATAACGGAAATCATTAGTTATTGGATGTCTATAATTATTAAAGAAGGGAACTAACCACATTTTTTCCCGTTCTTGTCCTAAATCAGGCATGTTATATAGTTTTAGAGTTTTTGTTTTTATGTTATAATTTATAGTCGAAATCTGGTTGGAAATCCAAAAATTGACTTCTCGGAAGACTCTTCGGCGAATACTATTGTTTGATGAACTTTCATCACGACGTTGGATTAATGCACCTAGGTTCGCGTATTCGATATACATGTCTAGTGTATGGTATATTATTGTATTTTGTACTATACCGTATTAATTTATGAAACATAATCTTATACAATTATTCCTATGGTTTCTGAAAATATAAAAAACTTGCTTTTCCTACAAGTGTACCCCGGTAATCGACACTGGTATTTATTTGTCCGTACGGCATAAATAATTTATTAATGATTACGATTTTTTCGAAATTTAATCTTAAAATGCTTTCATCGTATAAAATCTTAAAACTTCCAAATCGACGTTGAAAAAAAATATTTTGAAAAAAAAATGTTTTTAAAAATCTAAACGCGTTAAACAGGATTTGTGACGTATAAAATGGTTTAGTTTATTTGTGAAAGGGTGACAATCTCGGTGGACAGAACATTTGACGAAAAGCTACGACGATGTCGCGTTGTATTTATATAATCTGATAAACGAGTTATAAGTGGCAAAACGTTTTCGAGTTTGTATAGGGCAGATTAAATAGCAACGGCGACATCATGCGTGTTCCGCGTTCGAGATGCATCGTTTCAACATTACGTACAGACCGCGATTGTGAAATGTTAATTGTCTCGTACCATATAATCACCCAATATAGGAAAATAAAAATTATGTAAACCAAAAATGTAAAAAAAAAAAAACACGGCCCGAGGGAGGCGACGGGGCGATCGCCCATCCCGTCGTATTCACCGCCGTGTTGCAGGAGCATTTAAATCTAATTCCGCAAACCTATTTAATATTATTTTCTTGACGAAAAAACCGAAAAATATTATTGGTACACCGGAAAAATGTCTCGATACAGCTAATCCGTCTGACGTAGACCACTTGAGCCCGTCGACCGCCGGTCAAATTTCAGAAGAGAACTTTGGTATCCGCCTAGTGCTTGTTTTTCCGAGAAGTATACTTGCAGACACCAGACCTGTTGTTTTTTCGATTCATGAGTCATTATCGAGGCGGCGACGTACTGTAATTATTATCTGCGTCGAGCGGATTTCTGGTGGGACGGCTATAAACGTAATTCTCGCATAGACAAGACGGAAGGTGAGTTCTGGGCGTCGGCTTCGAGAGGTCAGAACTGGGTGTGCGACTTACTCGGTTGATGGATACCTATAAATACTGAAATATAATATAATGTTAATATTATACTCTTGGGTTGTTTAGTTTGTATGATAATATTATTATAAACGAATAACATCGATTTTTACAATACTCGTATGTATCGTGGACGTCGACAGTGCCCGCGAGACAAGTTCGACGGGTTTTCTCCGTTTCTGTCTGACCGAATATTATTTCGCATCGGATTATATTATTGTCGGTGTAGTTTAAAAAAATATTTTCAAATCATTTCTCCGGAAGAGGGTCGCTGATTTCTACCCGGACGCGTTCGAAAATTCGTCTCGAGTTAATTATAATTTTACATATTATATTACTACAATAATATAACACTTCTTCGCTCTGGATTATCGAACTCAACCCGCCATTCCTGCTCAAAACGGGATCTCAGAGTAAAATCCTATATAGTGAAATGGGAAGGGGGCGATGGGGGTTAGACCATTTCCGTGTGTTGTTGCGACCGTATCCGTCGTCTTGAACCGCCATTCCTGTGAACCGGACCGCAACTAGCTTACGCTTGTGAATCGGTTCACATGACAATCAGGTCGCGTTTTATATTGAATGACGATGTTAACAGCACAAAATAAAAAACAAATTACATTATATGGGATAATTGTTTCGTGACGAACCGAAGAATTCCTCGGGATAATTCTTTTTCAGTCTTTCCCGTTCGATATAGTATCGCGTTATCAGAACGGTATTGTAGTAATTGTAGTAAATCGAAACACCTCGTTGTGGAAAAAACTGGGTTAAACGATTTTACTAGTAAGATTATAAATACCTGAAAAGCGTAAAACAGTATTCCGATGTAAAGTATTCTATGTATCGTCGTATAAGTTCAGATTTCTATAGTTTTTATAAATAATTATGCGTCTAAACTATAAAATATTTACAAATTAATTTCACACTTCTTTAGTGGACCAACACTCTACAGCGGCTATTTAAATTAATTGGAATAGAAATGTTTGTTATTTCGAGATAAAATACTTTTGCATTTAGGGAAAATATTATTAATCTATTATTTCCTTTAGAGATTTTAACTATCCAAGATACACATTTACCTACTTTTTTGAGCGAAAATATTAGTACACAATCTATTTAGATTAATTATAATGTAATTGTTCATTATTTTGGGACGATACGCCACTGCATAAAAAGCAACCTATTATTTACCTTAATAACGTACACAGTTTTCTTGTTTAATTAATTGAATTTTGTAGTTACAACGGCGTACTGTAGTGCATTATTAATAACTGCATTTTTACTATACAAAAAGTGATATAACTCAAATCGAATTTTAGATTCGAAGTGGAACGAAAAATATCTGTGAACACCGATTCTACTAGAAATTTTACACCGATTTTAAGCGTCATTTATTGATTTTCTCAAGTTTTTCTTATAAATGGGAAAAACTGAGAAAAACGTAGGAAAAACGGAAAAATAAACAAAATTTATTATTTTTAAATCGTAAATTGTACGGCTTTTCAAAACATATATAACTGAACTCCGCTTAGAATCATTTTTTCGTTAGCAACGATTAATCTTTGCGTAAACATATTCAAAAATTTCTTTTCAGCTTTTCCAACTTTTCACCTATAACAGTGGTCAACCCACATGTAAAGTATATCAATCTTTATTGTTTTAGTTTAAAATGGAAAAAAGAATTATCGTTTAACTATTAATTATTATAACTGGAAAATTTGATAAAAAGTTCTCTACAAAAAAGAATATCGAAAACCCCATAGTTCCAATTCTTTTTTTTTTCTAAGTAGACGTTAAAATTTTAGATTGGACATATAATTATATATATATATATATATATATATTGGATTATAAAATAAAATTCTGTTTAATTATAGCCCGAGAAAATGATTTTTAGTGATAATTTTCAAAACTGGACATTTTTATAAAAATTACGGTTTCAATATTTTTTTTTATTTTATTGAAAATACTTATAAAGATCTGAAATTCACATAGAAACTTCCCGAGAATTTTATAACGTTCCTTACGATACTATTTCAGAAATATTATTTGTGGCCTTTACACAATCCGCTCGAAAATACTATTGACAAGTTTCACTTCAAAATACGAAAACATATTTCTTTTTCTTTCTAGACACATCCTTTATATTTATTCGATGTCTGATTGTTTTCTTATGCAAATAAAGGTATATAAAGTTATATAAGTCTACGGATTTGACGTCATTTTTTTTGAGCGAATTGTAGTGGATAATAATAAAATATTAAAACAATATACACATTATTATAAATATTATTTTAAAAAATACGATTGTGAAACAATATAGTCCAACTTATCAGGTTTTACGGGGAGGGTACAAAAAAAAAAAAAAAGGATATGCATACAAATATAACATATTATTATTATAATATATACCATTATACCGGATAAGTAAACATTTTATTCACCGTTTAAATCCCAAAAGCAAATTTAAAAAAAAAAAGAATAAGAAAGCTTTACCTCGAGTTTTTGATCTCGTATAATAATAAATATAAATTGTGGAAAAAAAAATCCACTAGACGTAGGTATGTATTCTGTATTTGCATAGAGGTATATCAATTATTATTGAAATTTTTTGAAAAAATTAAAATGCATTTATAAACTTACAATTCTAATAATAACAATAATAAAAGAAAAAACATATTTCATAAAAATGTATAAAAACCGTCAGATACTTTATAAGAGTAGGTATATGACATTCGAATGTTGTATTTTGTTTTTTTAATACGCAACTTTAATACTTACGGTATGGTATATTTCTTAAATATTTCTTCGGAAATCAACAAAAAAAAAAATACCAAAACAAATTAAAAAGATACTGGATTGTTAAAAGTTTCGATGTTTTGAATAATAATGTAAGTACTGCGGGCTATAAATTCGGCATATTATTTTAAGGCAATAAATAAACAAAATCATTCGCATAATACCTATCCAATTTAAATATTTCTTAAATATAATACTATGATTTTTTTTTTCAAAAATACTTTTAATTAATTTGTTTTTAGAAATGTTACGCATCGAATCTGTATATTCATTAATCCATTAAATTCAAAAATAAAACATATTTTATTAAAATTTGTTCGTTTGGTATACTTATAATCTCAACTAATTAAAAATAACATAACATCTAACCTAGGTAATATTAATGCGTCATATTAAGTTGATTTTTTTTTTTTACATCTATCTGGAGACATCGGTAGTTGATGATTTTTTTGAGTCGAGATATAAAAAATTATAAACTAATAGTTCTTATTTTTATTTGAGAACGCAAAACGTTCCTTTATTAGGAACGAGGAAAAGAACTAATTCCTCTTTTCAATCCTGGAACGAGGGTAAAATTAAAAAAAATCTAAACTTGAAAAGTTAAACATAAACGTGCACACATTCCTTTTAAAAAGTAACTTTTCCAAGCACTTGGAAAACTGTTTTAATATTTCCTTATATTATAATATTAGGAAAATAAAAAAATTATTTTCTCGTGAGTTATGCCAAAAATTCTACATGAAAGTTTCTATGAAGTTTTATATAATTAAGATTTCTGGTTGAAAAATTGTTTGTTGAAATATTGTTTACAGATTATCCCAAAAATGACTAAAGGTTCATTTTCCGCACAGCCTTCTGTAATGTATTTCTTGCGTGCGTCTGGCGTTAGAGGTTTGGACTAGTCTATCAAGCTAATTTTCAGCGTTAACTTTTTACTTCAACCAAAATGGTTTAAAAGACATATTTTTTTTATTTTTAGACTTAATTTGAATTTGTTTTACTTATAGTCCATACGGGTGTTATTTGTACAAGTGCTTCAAGATAAGACGCATAAGAGCTACAAGATCAAAAGATTTTTAAATTTATTTCAAAAAATATAATATTTATCAAATTGAAAGGCAAAGATAAAAATAAATTTTAAAAAAATTACCATTTAAGTAATTGACATTTATCAAGTGATGTAATTGCATCAAGTAAAACGGGTCTTTTTTAAGAAGTTTTTTAACCGACTATAAAATAAAATTGTTCGTAACTGATACAGAAGAAATCTCGAAATTTGTTGTCAATAGAAAAATGTACTTTATTGAGCTTTTTAAAAAGTCCTTTAAATATTCTCTTTTAAAATAATAAATTAATGTTCTCTTTCTAATCCATCATTTTCAGCATCTTCTTTATTTGACTCACATAGTATATACAATTGTTATTTAAAGTTGGATTTATAATTTTTTCGCGATATATATTAACAATTACAATTAATAGAAATGAAAACTTTAGGCGTTTTATGTAAAACAGTCATGACGTTGCAGGGAAATAATACCTTTTTGTGGTTTTGCCGAGTAGCGAATAGTATGTAATTTACCTATTCTATAATGAGTCATTTCGACCTGTCGTAATTACATCGATATTATTTTGCTACGAACGTGAAAATATAAGATAAAACCAATATGTGCTAAAAATAAACATATGCATTTTAAAACTACAATTAGATATTCAAATTTGAAAAAAAATTTCAAAACGTCGAAATATGCAAAACGAATTATTGTTATTTTAATAAGAATGGTCTAAATCGGGGACAATTCTTTAAAAAAGCATATATACATATATATATATATATATATATATATACCTATGCATTTTAATATAAATCCGTTCCATAATAATGACTAATCGATATCATTTCAAATTCAGCTAAAGGCTATTATGAGAATATGTTTTTATTTTTATTTTTTACATTTTACATTATTTCACGAACAAAAACTTTTTTTTAAATGGCATATTTTCCTTTTAAATACTACACTCATTTGCATATTGTAAAACCAAATATCATTGGTTGCCTTATAATACTGTGAAACTATCATTTTTGTACTCTACTGGCAATATCGAAGTATACAAATTACTATTATCCGACAAATTTAGTTTTTAATAAAATTTTAACTGATAGTTTAATAATTATTATGCAAATGCAATTGTAATTATATTGAACATGTATTCCCGTGGGTTTTGAAATAGTGAGCACTTTTATACGGATTAAAACAAAAAACTTTAACCATCCGATTACCTAAATTAAAATACCAGCAGCAGCAGTTGCAGTAGAAAAATTATTTGACAAAAGTACAAAATAATTAGTGTTAGAAAAATACATTTATGTAAAAATTAAAGCACAATCAAAAAAAAAAACCCGAGTGTTGTTAACAAACTGTTCTCGTTAGTTAATTATTTTATTTATTTAAACGTATCGAATTATAAATTATAAACAAGCAAATATTGAAGATTTGTCTTGTTGAAACTTTTCGAAAACTTAAATTGTATTAACGTTACACAAAATTTAAAAATCATTTTTTTTTATCTCGAAAAACTTAATGTCATGATTTTGTATAAGTATCTTATTTATTTATATATATATTTTTTTTACAGACTAATAAATACATAATTTACTGTCTAAATATACTGATATCAATATTAGTAATGTACGGTCGTATTTGTAATGGAGACATGAACGCTCGATCAAAAACGCGTATTAAACATACTATGAGAGCAAAAAAATCGATATCGGGCTAAATCTGATAATGCCACAAAAAAGTTAATGTCCTAATTCCTAAATGTAAACTTAAAATCTACTGTTTTGTCGATGAACAACCACAATGTGTTTAGATAAATCGGAAGAGAAATGGAAAATCTTAACATTAACCACCTCTTTTCCAATCGGTCTCCTCTACCCTCATTTCTCCTACGATTGTTTTGATTACAATTCTGACTGCTTCAGATATTTCACTATCAGATTTGTTCTTATTTTGGTAGACAAAAAATAAACATTTTATACGAATATTAATATTTGGACGATTCGTTTTGTAATGTTATATATTGTGTTATTTATTTATTTTATATTACGATTACAATATAAACAAATTTAATTTTGTTTGATCAGATACTATCGTACAAATAAATACAATGATGTTATTATTTATACATTCCTTTTGTAAAATTACAATGTTGGACATCGATATTATTTTAAATTTCTATACAGGGTGAACCAATATTAAATTAAACTTTAATACCACAGATAGTATTTGTTTATTTGTTTTGTAATAATGTATACAGCCCATCACAGCCGACTAGTGTACATTGTATTTTTTTTATATGTTGTTATATTCATCAATTGTAAAATATGTTTCTCGATTTACCTAAAATACATCTAACATAATATTCATACTACAGCGGTGTAGCCAAAGAGATACGGGAGCAATTTCTAACCCCCATTGGCCATATTTACAATGATGTTTGTTATAATCGTTTTATGATTATGTAACTTAACGTTTGTAGGATTTATTTTCAATTCCGAGACAAATTATGAATTGGTATGTTTCAAACATAATTGTTAAGGAAATTAATGTTCAAAGACAAATATGTAATTTTGAATTTCCTCAACTAACCTAATCCATTGAGAAGTCCTCTCTACTCCACATATATAATGTTATTATAATCTAATATGGAGACTACGTCTTGTCAAATTTTATTAAGAAGACGTGATATCCGCATGCGCCATCTACGTCTTACACACGTACACGTTAGCACATAGCACGGACAACTTTATGCTATTATTTTTAATATTATAGTGAATTTACCAATTAGAAAAATTTAAGATAGAACATTATCTGTATAACTGCAGCGAGTATTTTTGATATTCAAATTTTTAAAAGAATTATTTATATTTAAAATATTTGAATTTCAAAACGCTTATAAATATATAGGTAGTATATAGATAAGATTTATTTTGGTCCCATGAGCATAAGTCAATAAGTGTGTTTAGTTTTCAATACAAACGAATTAAATACTTACGTACATTTGTACATAAACAAATACGCTCGGATACACAACGAATATTAATTATGAAAATACGTAAAAATGTCAACATATGCAAAAACATAATACATAAGAAAACATGTGAAATTTAGACCGAGAATTAAGGGAAACTTTTTACACGAGACCAAATTATATATTTATGGTATATATATTTATATACATATAAAAAAGACTAAAAATTAACTCAAATCCTTATTTTCCGTTGAATAAAAATATGGTTAATGTAATGGCAGTCGCACGTAGGAATTTAAATTAATACGCACACATTATTTTGTTTTAAATGCAAAAAATAATATTATATAACTGTCACGGGAAAACAAATATTTCATATCTTTTATTGGACAAAACACCGTCACATAGAATAATATTTCGCGGTTTTCGAACATTTTTTTTTTTGTTTTTTAACGTTAAGTATATTATCAACATCCGTCAAATTGGCCCGCGAACTTTTCACGTAATAGGTAGTCGTTTTTTTATTATAATATTATTATTATTTTTTTTTTTATAATTTGATTTCGGATATACGTAAAATATGACGGCCATCGATCGTCGTATAACACTACTGAAGTATAAAATATACGGCGTAACTTCCACGCAACTCGATCTCTGTAAATCGAAATTCATACGGACATATAATATTGTTCGCTTGAATTTATTTTTTTTTATTTGTATTCATTTAATTTATCGTGAATTCGAATACCGAGTGGTTTTTTTTTTTGCTTTGTGAAATAAACTCGCGTAACGATAGCTGATATAATCGTCGTAATGTACATATATATATATGTGTGTGTTATGTACGTTCAGGGCGTACATAGTACGAGTATGGCCACAGGACAACGAAGAAAAAAAAAAGCAGGGACGAAAATAGGGGGAAAAAAATCGATCGTTTTCTCATTGTACAGAATATTATACGTTTACACTGTATTCAATACGGTTAAAATGTTATATTTTATTGCCGATTGCTCCGTGTGATTGTTCCAATAACGTTTAAAATAAAATTTGTATTCTATATATCAGAGATTTATATTATTTATAAAAAAAAAAAAAAAAACAACAGATAAACTAAAAAACAATATGATTTTACTTTAACTTAATAATTGACTCTTCCCTTCTTGCACAGCGCAAATCATATACATTAGTATACGTGACTTTCTGAAATAAAGATGGCTATCAAAAAGAAGAAACGTGTTTATTTAAAAACACAATAATTGTTTGAAATATTCAAAAAAATTGCATATAAAGGTTCCTAAAACAATGTATACATAAAAGCTTATTTTAGATTCTGAATGGAACAAAGAAGGTTATGGTTTTACAAAGATGTTTATTTTTTAACTATGCGCAAATGTGTAGCACCTTTTCTGAAAGAAAATCAGACTGAAGAGGTACTTTATGGAACATACTATTCGTTTTTCTAAGGAGTATTCTCATCAAATGTGAAAAACCTGAAAAAACGGAGGGAAAACAGGAAAATGTATGAAATGTAGATATGAGTTAAAAATTTTATGACCTTCTTTTTTCCAGTAAACATTTTTTCTATCGGTAATTTCGCTCCACTTTACAATGATAGCACTTTTTCTAAAATTAAATCTTACTGAACAGGTATTTACTGAACATTTTGAAATTTTCTCAGGAGTTTTCTCAATAAATGGAAAAAATTGGGAAAAACACGGAAGAATGAGAAAACCGCAAGAAAAACGGGAAAATAAGTACAATATTAAACATATTGTATAAATAAAGAAAATTTATATTGCCTATGCAATTATTTTACCATAACATGACATATTATATTATATTCTTGACAAAGCATCATTATCAACTGAACTCCGCTCAGAATTGTTTTTTTCGTTATCAATGGTTTATCATTTTTTACAGATATACATTAAATTTCCCTTCTGCTACTTTTTAACTTCTCACCTACATCAATGGCTGCACCAACGTTCAAAGTATGTCCGTCTTTTTTCTATAATTATCCGACTGTTTGTATTTTGAGAGGAAAGATTATTAGTCATTATGATTAATGTTTTATTTTTCTTCATTGATTGTGAAATTAGTTGAGCTTTCTTTTAACACAATTTTATAAATGCTATATAAATATTTGACTTCAAATTTCCTGTCTACATTTTAATTTGTATAACTCATTCTAGTCTAATTTAAATTTCATAGTACAGTACCAGTTTTGCAATTTTCTCCGATTTTGACAAATTTTAAAATAATATTTAACACTTCAATTACCACTTCAAGGATAAGATTTATCTACTTATCTATTACGCTACACTCTGTTGGAGGAAAGAGGCAGCGGTTTTTACTGACAAAAATGATTTTGCGAGAATAGAGAAATTTCATTTTTAACAGTATATGATTCTATATTTTGATATTGTACGATAAACAACAAAATTCTACAGATTTAATTGTACTTTGATTTTTAAGTTACTAAAAAGAATTTAAAAAATTAAAATTTTTTTAGACATATTATAGATTAAATGAAATAAACATTAGAAAACAGAATTCTATGTGAGCTTTAGGACGTCTTCATCTTAATCATCAAAAATGAATCATTTATGTCAGGTCTTTCTAAAAGGCAAGAGATTTTTCTCCAAAAATCACGATTTTGAGACAAAAACACTGGCAGTTTAATCAGTTTAAATCGCTTAATTAGTTTAATAAATGGGTATTTATAAAAAAATATTCTCTTATTCAATCTAGTTTCTATTTCGCTTTGAAGATTTTAATCAAAATACAATGTTGTTGTTTTTTTTTTTACTAATAATGAATATTCACTAAAAAATATTTAAACTTTTTGAGGACAACCGTAACTAAATCACCGTGTAATTTTATCTAAATTCAGTGAGAACGAAACTCGAATAAATATCAGTATTTACCAATTATCAACTGATTTTAACTTTTTGTGTTCAAATGGTTATAATTTTAACATAAGTAATAATATAACGACACGTATAATTATGAAGTGCATTTTAATATTAATGTCTCATCAATATTTTTTTATCAGAATCTCTGTTTACTGATATTAATTTTGTCCGCATTACAAGTCTGCTCGTACAACGTCCCCCTCGAGACCGTTGAATTGCTCGTAAACCAACGAGATTGAATCGTCGTGTATACGATATTATTAATGATATTTCGAGATTTTCCTAAAGCGATATACGCTAATAATGCTAATTATGATATAAATTATAAATTATATCGCCGTCAGGGATGGAAGGGGACACATAAAGTCATAGAATATTTAGACTCTGATGAAAAAAAAAAGAAAAAAAAAAGACGTCCTAAGGAAATGGAGACGAATACGGCCACTATTTTAGATAACCTAATGTATATCTGTAAGCCATTGCTAACGAAAAAACGATTATGATCACAGTTAAGTTTATAGTGATACTTTTCCAACAATATAAACGTCATATTATGGTTAAATAATTAAATACGCGATAAACATTTTCTTTTATAATATTTTTCTAATATTGTACTGATTTTCCCGTTTTTCTTGGGTTTTTCTCAGTTTTCCCCTATTTTAACTTGGTTTTTCTAGTTTGTTGGATAAACTTCTTGGAAAATCGAAAAATGACCTCTTTAAAGTACCTTCCTTGTGAAATTTCCTATTGGAAGAATTGCTATTGTTCAATTTGGAGCAAAATTACTGGAAGAAATGTTGTGCAAAAAAAAAAAAATAGTAATATTTTAGTAATATCTTTTGTATATTTTCCAATTTTTTTTTTTCGGTTTTTCAAATTTTATGAAAAAAGACTTCCAATGAATGTTATATTATACAATTTTTATTGAGTTCAGTAATTCCTTATTAAAAATAAATTAATGTTTACTCATACGGAAGAAAGAGTTTACTAAATAATTTAATGAAAATATTCGTTTATAATACAATTGGTATAAATAACAAAGTTAAAATATTTAAATAATGCTTTTAAATTGGCCAATGGCTATGTTGTATAAAACGAAAAATGTTTTGAAATTAATTACAAATACCGTTTTTATATCATTATTATAACGTAATAATCCATGGAATAAATCGGTACAATTTGTCCCCCTAGTATATGACTGCTGATTTTATATCTCCTATATAAGACTATTATCATACAGTCTGCTATCTAGTCGTTTTTTTTTTATTTATCTTTTTTTATATTAACAGCTGTGGTCACTGGGAAAAATAACATTTGAACATAGACCGAGAATTTCCATCTGTGGTACACAAAGTGATCAACATAATACGAGACCTAATTTGTGTGGCCGCAGGTGCGCGGTGTTTGAATAGTGTTCCAATACTCTCCTCCAACCAAATTTAAAAGTAGAATATCTCGACAACGGATAGTCGAAAGTCACAAATATGAACACCAAAATTTATTTTAACTGGCACTACATCTTTTATTCATATTGATACAGGACACTGTTTGAAAATCAATAATATTTTTCACCCCCAAAAATAAGGGCAAAAAAAACGAAAAAAATTAATTTTATCTCTCCGGGATAATAAGTGTCTTCTTACGTGATGTTGATCAGTGATTACTCGTTCGATATTTATATAGATAGTAAATTTCTTAAACCCAATCATCGCGAACGACTTTTACGAATTCCCTTCAATTCGGATACATTATTATACCGGTATGATAATAATAATAATTTATGCGCTGTCTTTTTTTCGACGGTAAAACGCGCATATAACACGCTCAATTCGGATTCGATTTGTATACGTTTATTCGGAATCGTATTTCGTAGAAACAATACGTTCGGTCGGCGTGTAATTGCCACCGTAGAGGAATCTTTTATTTATATTCCGCCCTGTATATTTTGACGAACTTACGTCGGTATAATTATTACGACTGTGCCGTGTGCCGTGTGCGAAAATCAACGTTGGCTTATGTTAGATAGTATACGGTTTTTTTTTTCGATCGACGTTAGGAAGTATATTATTTATTTGGATTCGACCGTCCGTAAAATAATCGCACCTGCAAACTCGGCGTCACGTTTTATCAACAGTTGAGCTTCTCTGGATCGCCAATAAAATAATAATTAATAATCCGTGTAGATATTTTAGCAATTAAATTATATTAAACTATAATAATTCCACCGAGAACTCGAAACGACGTCGTCCGCAAACGCACGCAATAACTGCAAATCGCAATCAAAATCTGATAATTATTATACAACAGTAACTGGCCATAAAAGATATTCACACGAAAGGAATCCCGAACAGTAATTGAATAGTGATAATCGAAGTGAACATCGTTATTATATATTATTATATATTTTATTTTTTTTTTTAAAGACTTTTGTCTTTCGCTAAGACTCGTCCGGTAATCCTCAAATGTTAGACAAGGAAAATTGATTAATACTAGTAAATTTCTTGTGAAAAATCTTCAGGTCAACCTACAACACAATTAATGGAAAGCGTATAAATAAGGAGAATACAAAGGTCGAGGTCGTATTGTAAAATACGAGTACAGTATTCGTTATAAGGCTAGGAGAAAATTACAATGTGCGAAATATTCTTGTAATCATAATTGACTAATGAAATCCCGGTTGGAAAAGATGCCTAGAAAGGTCTAAAAAGAGGTAGGAAATCACTATAAATAAAGGTGTGGTGATTCGATATGGAAAAAAAAAGTAATTGATATAGAGAAGGATAGAAGATTGGATGTGAGATTCAGTGGTCCGATGAAAAATTATAGATAAATACTGTAAGATAAATTTCTTTGTTAAATTATATAAAAAAAAAAACAAATACAATTCAATTATAATTATAATTTGATTTATTATTCTTCGCCTTTATATTTTAAGATAATAATATAACACTATACAATAAGTCGATTCGAATCGATTTCGTAGCGGTCTCAATTTTAGACAATTGCAGGTAAAAATGTAAAAATGTCCAATAGAAAAAAATACCAACCGCACAAATGGCCTTTAATTATATTTGAGTTCCTATGTATTTTACAGTAAATATTTATGGAATATTTTACTAAAGAGGTACTATGGTATTGATAAAACCGGACATATTTAACACTGTTGTACCGCCCAAGCGTTTTTAGCATACAGTAACCCATATAAACGCCGTAAATAAAACTGAAGTATCGTCATATGCTGTTAGTTTTCTTTTACAATCGTTTAGAAAAATTGTTGAAAATGTAGGCCTATTTTTAAATAGAATAATGTTGGATGCAAAATTCGTATCGCTTAATGTACGATGTGAACGTATTGAAGCATTTTTATTAAACAAAAATTGTTTTCCTAATTCAAAAAAAAAAAAAAACAAATTTTCTTACAATTATGGTAGCTATTATTTTTATTCACGACGCTCAAAATCGAATATAAATAAATATGACTCGATGCGTATACAAAACATTTTTTGCTCTTATATAGTGTTTCGTTATATTCCTAACCTAATCAATTTCACGATTTATAAAACTAAACCTAGTATACCTACCAACTCTCGTTTGTAATGACTTAACTTGATTATTACACAATATTCTAATTTATTCATCGACTGTTGTTAGATATGTATAGTTGTTAAAATGTTATTACATCTAATTTCACGCGAGTATTCAAAAAACAATGTTTGTTAATCTTATACGTCGTGTAGTAAATTATTATTATTAGATTAAACTCTCCACACATTTGTAATTTCCATCTGCGCACACACAATAATACCTACACGCGATAAAAACCGAGCGCGCCATACACACACAGAAAGGCGCACACACACGCGGCAAAATGGTTTTTTCGTGTTTTTGCAGTTTTGCATAATGCGCCTTTGCCGTCATAATATACAATATGTAATCTTACCGTGTACGCGACGATGTACACGACGACTATTAACGATATGTCTCGTTAAAACTGTTTGTTATTTATAACCGCTCGGTCGGTAAAACGTGCGAAGAAATATTAATAATAATATGATGTGTTTGTGAAATTTCGCTGCTAAGGACCACAGGCGGATATAGTTCGTATAATAACACGACGACATGAGAGTTTTCGAATTTCTACTGACAATATGGGTGTTCATTTTCTTTCCGACAATTCAACTTCGGAAACACGATAATTATTACACCGTATAAATGTATAACACGCACTGAGTTTTTATATTATGCGTATGACTCTCCTGGCTATAAAAAAAAAAAAAAAATACTTTCAATAGAATGACATACGTTCAGGGGGTACTGGATAAATATTTGCGACCGATTGTATGAAATCGGGATAATAAAGTAAACATTTATTCTTGTGACAAATGACGAAGCGCAAAAGTATTGGATTGAGCAATGTTTGTCAGAAAATATGTCTTAGGAAATTATTTGGCTCAATTGTCGACGTTCAAACAGTCGGAAATTGCGTGATAACGACAAATGTACTTCAAACTTAGTTCCAACGGCTCAATATAATGTATGTTGAAGAAATTTCTTTTAACTGTAATGATGGTTCAATTGTTCCTTAAAATTTATTTTTAAAAAACTGTATATACTGTATAACTGTCAATAAAAATAGCTACATTCACTGTTGGATGCGAATCATCTGCAGTATAAAAAAACGTGGACTCGGATCGATTTTAAATGGAATTTGGTGGATGATTTGTTGCTTAAAGTTTGACTATAATACTGAAAGTTACGAAAAAAATGCAACAATAAATTATAGAAGAAATAACCCCGGCTACAAGCATGATAGTGTTCACAAATAATAGTAGTATAATATTAATATACTATTAAAGATGCATCATATTATCCTCCAAATATGAGAGCTTTAGCTTTCAGCACTAGCAGCTTCAACTTTCTAAACTAAATTTATGATTTATAGGAAACATTCTAATTGATAATAATTCGATGTTTTGTAACACTTGCGTTTTTTGAGACTTATAAATATTTGAGAATTTTCGTCTTCGAGCAAACCTAATTTCCTAGATGTATGGTCAATGATCATATTTATAATGAAACAACAAATTAATGGAGAAGATACAATACACATTTTATCTGTCAGAGAGTTATATTAAGACCAAAATAAACACAAAAGAGAAACTTATACGTTGATCCGGGAAAGTCTACTTGTTAATTTTCTAACAATCTTAACCTTCAATTAAAAATGTCGTTTGCTTGGAAAATCGTGTAAATAATACGCGTTTCGAACTTGGCCTTTTTTTTTTTTTTTTATATATAATCGATTTATCAATAATATTATTATTATGCCCCAAAACAATACATGCAATTAGTATAAGTACGTATTAAGTACTTATGCGCGGAATTAATATATTATAATAATATACTGCAAAAGCCGTTTGTTTTTATAGCGTTGCATTATTGTTGTATGCCGACAATAATATTATCGTCCGAAAACGATATTGTACGCAACACAATGATATAATATTATGTCGTTCGTGTACCGATCGGAGTTTTGAATAAACTATTTCAATGGTTCATTAATATTATGCAATAATAATAATACGAAACAATATGAACTCGTTCAAACACAGTCGAATACTGATAAACGAAGCTCGACAATAACGAGTTAAAACGTTTTAAAGTAGAGTTGGTTTTAATTTTTAACTTAACTTTCTAAATATTGTTGTTTTCCCTTTTATATAATTTAAATCCCTTACGGTTTATTACTGGATCCCTCATGACAAAACTCGTACAGAATACATAGGATATAGAAATATTTAGCTAAAAAATTAATTATTATTCTGTTTACCTAAATTGAAAAACGAGTTCATCTTGAACTATATAACGTTAAGTAATTTGAAATTGTTTTTAATCTTTACAGGCTATTTAATGTTCAATATATTCACTATTTTAAAAAGGTAAATATCAAGTTCCGAGTTTAAAATAAGTATAATCTGCGTTATTCCCGGAATAAACCGTTGTGTGATCGTTCTTATAAAAAGAAAAAATAAATAAATCTAAAATCCTAAATTTAATAAGTTACACTGCCTACAATCACAATTTTACATTTCACTTGAGTTTATTAGATAATTCAATTTCAAATTTGAATATGGTAATCATTTTTTAACTTTACCTGAGTTAATATTATTCATTATTTTGCCTAGTTTTGCTCAAAAATAATACGAATTATTTCAGTGCTCTAATTATTAATCAAAATTAGGTGTACCAAGTAAAAAAAAAAAAATAACTAAAACACTGGAAAAAAAAATAAAATTTAACTACAATAAAGCTATTATGGAGTTCTGTAGCTGCTGATTGGTGGTGTTTTTTTTTTCCCTTTTGAACTATCTTTGTCGAATTTTCCATGAAAAGAGAAATTATTGTCCTGTAATGTATCATTTATACATACATATACATAACCGTTTTTCTTATTATTTTTGGACATAACTAAACTATCCCTTTGGAAAAAATTAGCTCAAACAAGGGAAATATGGTTTTTTTTATGAGTGAGTTGCAGAAAAGATAAAATTTATGTTTAAGTTCAATACGAATTTAATCATAGGTAATCTTTTTCAATGAATTAAGAAAAGGAAGCAGGGTAGTTTTTTTAGCATTGAATATTTTTACACATCCACAAAGAAATTTTGAATATGATGCTTAGCGTAGGGATTAGTTTGGGGTAAGGTTGAAATTCTCATCTTTCACATTTACCATTTTAAATTCCAAATGGAGCGAAGTAGCTTATGGTTTAACAAAGACATATATATTTTTTTATCCGTGTGCAACTTTCTACCAGAAGATTTGATCAGATATCTAAGTGCAGCACCTTTTCTGAATGGAAATCGGTGTGGAAAGGTACTTTAAGCAGGTCATTTTTTTGATTTTCTCAAAAGTTTTCCTAGCAAATGTGAAAAAATGGGATAAAAATGTGGGGAAACCAGAATAAACGTTGGAAAACTGGGAAAATCGGTACACAATAAACAAATATTATTAAAAAAAATATACATAATACCTATTTAATTATTGTATATGTAACAATGCATAACTATCAACTTAACTCTCCTCAGAATAGTTTTTTCGTAGGCAATGGTTTATCTTTGCTTACAAGTATACATTAAATTATCTATAAGAGTAGCTGCACCCGTCCTTATCCTAAAACGTCTTTTTAAAATAAAATTTCGTCATTTTTTTAGAAGTCGTATAATTATTGTACAATTATTACCCATTTAGTGTACCTAAATATAGTGTTGCATGATATTATTATATTTGTCGGTTATAATATTTTTGTTGCATAAAATGTGTAAAACAAAATAATTTTTAGGGAATTTCATTCTGGTAATGGAGGTCTGCTGTTTCTGCGTGTTTTGTTTTTTTCTAGACCTGTACTAAAAGTTTTTTTATAAAATATACATTTTATTGTAAGACATTTTGTTGACAATCGCTGAGGTGAACGAGTATTTTTGAATATTCTAGCTATAGAAATTCCATATACATGTGAATATTTGCCTATTATTATTACGAATTTTGACATAGGTAGGAAGATATACCAACGTTGGACACATTTTCGCTTATGTATTTACCGAATATAGGTGAATTACTTCTCCGATACTTTCAACGTGAATAATAGCGCCTCTGTTGTGATTCAGTCCAACGTTATATAATTGAAACGAATGTTTCAATTATTTTTAAAACAAACGATTTAAAATATAACCGAGCAATACTAGTAGTAAATTTTAACAGGTCGAATGGCAAATAATTTTATAAAACTAGCGGTTTCACTAATTTTCACTTAAAAAATATGTGTACAGAAAATTAGTAAGAATTTCCATATATATCACCGAAATTTCGGCATACTATACGGTCAATATTCTCGAGGTGTTGACGCACTTACTACAAATTACGAAATTCATTATTTTTTTATCTATCGTAAAAATATATTGTTAACTCAATTTATTCAGGTAGTTTGCTCCGTATATGACGTGATTCTTTCACTCCGAAACGTGTAAGTAAGGTATATTAAACTTATTAAACCTATTTTAGGTGTGTATTACGAAATCTCACATATTTTCAAAAAAAAAAAAAAAAACTTGTATAATAAAATTGTGTGTAAATCGCAGCGGATCGAGTTGATACCTACTTTTCGACGACTCAATGCCACCTTGTTTGCTGCTTACTTACAATAATTATTCCGGCGGGTTTATACAGTTGCATAACGGTACAATATATTATTGTATAAACTATAGTGATTTACTAGAGAAATTATAATAATATGCACATTTACAGGGTGATTCAATACCGAAATATCGGTTATCATTAATTAGTAACCATAAATCTAAATTAATTAAAACTTTACAGGTCTCTACAGTAATTTTTAACGGGATTACAACATGTTAAACAAATCGAAAACAATAAAACCATTATTTTCGTAAGCTTTAGCTTTTTTTCTCAGTTTTTCCCCATTATTAAGAAAACTATAAGGAAAATAAAACTTCCCAATGCACTATACTAGATCTAAGATTGTCCACGAAAAGGTCGTGTTTTTCCCTCGGTGCACTCGACCGTAAATCAACAAAACATAAAAAAAAACCGGATCTAAGGGCGATGAACTGCCGAACATTTCTATACAAAATATTTAGGTAGCTTTTTTTCTATACTGTACTCAGAATATAAAATATTTAATAATAATAATTTAAAAAAGAACTTACTTCGCGCAAGGTTGGGATACTGTAATAGATGAGCAGTTGAGAAGGTATGATATAAAAAGGAATTAAATGTATATCTGTACGCAACGATTAACTATTGCTGACGAAAAATGATTCTAGGCGAAGTTCAGTTAATAGTGTTGCTTTGTCAACAATGTATATACGCCATACGCCATATTAAGGTAAAGTAATTACATATACATTGTATTATATTTATATATTATATATTTATTATATATTTTGTACAATTTGTTTAATGTTTTACTTATTTTCCCGTTTTTCTTACGTTTCTTCGGATTTCCCATAGTTTTTCCCATTTGTTATGAAAACAGCTAAGAAAATCAATAAATGACCTCCCTAAAGTACCACTCCAGTCTAATTCCCTTTCAAAAGTGCTCTCATTGTAAATCGGATCAAAATTTCCTGTATAAATATTGTCCACAGAAATAAAAATAAACATCATATTAAAACCAATACATTCCTTGCTCCGCTTAGAATCTAAATACTCTCTTGTCATTATTTGATTGAATCATGACTTCTAGTACAAATGTTGTTTACAGACAGACAAGGAAAAAAACAGAAAATCGTCTTAATAAAACCATATAAATACCTCGCTGCTGTCAGAATATAAAATATGATAGTACTTTCAGGTAGACCACTATTATATAGTTGAATAGTGAGGAAGGTACAGTATATACATGTTAATTTAATTTATATGCTGTATGTAAAAATTACAAATATAAATCATAAATCAATATACAGCTCACTGATTTAGTCAGTACGCGCAGAATTTTTTGTACGGTCAAATATTATAATATTTACGTACCTAGGTTTTGTTATTTTTCCACGAACACGAACACCCTAAATATCCTACGTGGGGTCTTTGTTTCTACCTTTGAATATCCGCACTCAAATAAACGGTACCTATCCTCAATAATAAGCTCGTGCTAACGTCATTTATTATACCTACTCGTATATTATATTGCGGACCTAATCAAATATTCGCTCTTAGCGTGACTTCTACGTACCTATGTAAGTTTATAATATACGTGACAGCTTAATAAACTACTACGGGTGTGTGAATCATATACAGGGTGACTGTTTTATCACGAAACGATGACTGTTGTTCTACCTACGACGAGAAGTCTAAGCAATAATTTGATTTTGAGCTTTTTCAGAATATCACGTTTATTTTAAAACTGTTTAATGATTTTATTTATTCTTATCATTTTATCGGTCAGTGTTTATACATTTTTCATTTTGAAAAACAGTAACTCAAATTGTATTTAAATTCAAATACGAACACTTTTAATCCTTTACATGTCGAATCATAACGTTTTTTTTCTCTGTGGGTATGTTCACATAACTGTATACCAATTACGTTCATACATCCATACGACTTAGACATCAATTGCTATAAAATGATTCGAGAAAAACATTTTTTTGATTTTAAGTGATGCAAGGAATATGAGTTAGTTTTATTATAACGTGTACTTATTTATTAGGTACTTATCTTTTTTCTGTTTGTAAACAACCTTTCTAACAGAAATCTTGCTCAAATTATAAAATTTATAAATCTCCTATTTTGTTGTATTTTAGATCTAAGAGGTGCATTTGGGAGATCAGTGTTCATAATAATTGAGAATAATCAAGGAAAAAAAAGTTTAAGAAAAATTGACAAATATATAAAATTAAACTGGAACGAACTTCGTTTAGAAACGTATTTGGTCAGCAATGGTTAATCGTATCAGACGGATATAATTTTAATAACTATTTATATATTCGTTTTCCTCAACTTTCCACAAACTTGCACAACAGTGGCATATCCATCCGCAGTATCAGCATTTTTTTCGTAATATCAACCATTGCGACTAATCGAGAGTGGGCGTACTTCGTATACCTTTTTATTTTTACAATATTCGTTATAATTTTCTATCAAAAAAAAAAAAAGCACTATAAAACTATTTTTCAAAATGTCTTATACTATTCCCGAAAAACGTTATTCAAGCAAAAAAAAAAAATAAATAATAATAATAATAATAACGCATTTTGTAAAACTTAATAATCACTTTAAAGATTTCGTATTCTTAAATTTCTCACAGACCGAAGGTTTATGGAGCGCTCGAATCAGACGATTCAAAAACATGGGGCGAAAATACAATCTGCGAAATCTTTGTAGTTTTATATATTGATTCTGTAAAACCAAAAAAACTGCACTTAAGCCGAAACGCGCATTAGGTACATAACAAAAAGTTTACCCATGCTCGAAAAAAAATAAATGCTACCACCATACTAGCCACAAATAACAAAAACGTAAGTCAATTTACGAACTTTGATTATTTTTGTATTCAGCAATCGACATTTTGTGTAAAAATAAAAAAAACTGTTTTTCATTTATTAGGTTTCTAACACAAGTTTAGATAGCTTATGTTCAAGTTGTGTTCGTCCGTCTTTTCATAATTTCAGCTGTTAATTCGGTTATAAAGCTGGATGATGAATAATATTGGTAACATAATTATTATTATAAAATATAAAAATATAAATTATTAAAAACATTAATATAAAAAGGGTTATTATTGTACACGGGTGTAGAATTTTTTTCGTATAAGAATTTTCATATCAAATTTTGATGAAAATTGTAAACATTACGGCCCATTAAAACACCTATGACTTAACTCCGCCCGAAATCGTTTTTCATTAGCAATGATTATACATTTATAGTAAATATTTTAAATGGAAAATAAAAAATTACCTGTAGGTAAAAAGACCGATATATCTCGCGCGATGGATTACACGCTGTTATAGGTGAGAAGTTGAAAGGGAAGATTAAAACGGTAATTTCATTTATATCAGTACTTAACAATGAACCATTGCTAATGTAAAAAACGATTCGGAGCAGAGTATTATTGTTCAATATAATTATTCCCTTATTGCCAAGATACCCCAGAAATCAAAAAATGTATACATCAAAATTCAAGTTTTTCCCAGATTTAATCAAGAAAACTACAAAATAAAAATACCTTTTAATGCACCAAATATATAAAAAATATTACAAATACGTTTTTATATGAATTTAATATTTACAATTTAATTTGTACAATATTGGAGTATTTTTAACCAGTTGTTTAAAGACGCACAAGAAAAAAACACATATTTAAAACAGGATATTCCTTGCATATCTCAGAGTCTATAAAAAAGAAGAACATGTATTGATACTTCAACACATAAGTAATGAAATATGCATCACCGGACGCCATAGTTTACCCAATTCTTTTAAAATTGTATATGCAAATATAATATGGTTTGTTGTTTAAAATCCCTTTAGAGACTAGATGGTGGACATTTAGCACTCTCGTAGGGTTCGTTTTCCAAACTCGTTTTGAGAGTTGTTATACAATATTTCGAGTACAATTTCGGAAATATTAAAATAGATACGAATACACTTCGAATTTTTAGACTCCTTTACATATTTTAAACCATACAATTGTCTCCGTGGATGTTTATCAAACAGAAAAACGACATAAAACCAAAATCGATATGACGGCGGTGGTAAAGACACGGTCTTGGAAAAAATGTGAGTTAAAATTTAATCAAGTCTCGTATATACGTATACGTAACACTGCGGAACAGTTTTTGTTTTTTATTACAAATACGAAGTTCCATCAATTTATACCGTATCGCAGCTCGAATAGACTTACCGATATAATAATAATAATACCTACGTGACGTTAGATACGGTTTAGTATCCGACGTGACAAAAAAAACCCTCATATTTTTATTTTTTTTTTTTCGATTTCATTTGGTCCATAAAACGTGACCTACGCCGGGGTAATTTTCGAGTAGAACATTATATATTTATGCGACCTGTAAGTGATGTGAACTTATAGCCCCCGTGTTATCGATTAGTTTCCATTAGTTTTTCACGACCAAAAACCAAAACATTATCTGCGCGTATACTACGATATAAAGCTTATATAGTTTTTTATGTTGATTATGATTTATAATTATAGGTATAACTATGGTTGAAAAAAATAACAGGCATGTTAGCAAATTGCGTATTTTCCCCATGAACCTATCACTATACATGTGCCACAATCTTGAAGGAAACGGTAAAATACGTAGCCCACGGATAATAAAAAATGTTTTGAACGTCTATAATATAGACTTTATATAAGTACTTCGTACCGACATTTTGCCCTAGAATTTACGAAAACACCAACATTATTTAGTAAGACAAAACAATACAAAATTCACTGGCTTATTTTTAATTTTGAACAGAAAACGAAATGATCGATATAGTTTCCTATCCCGGTTTGTCCCCCCCCCCAAACTGATATTTTCCTCTTATTTAATCTGTTCAATTTTCATCATATTTGTAATACCAATAATTGATAATATTTTTCAATATTTCCTTACAGACATTTACGATATTCTATCCTATTAATTTGAATAATTTTTCTAATTTGTTAGAGAAAAATTAAACGAGTTTAATCCAGCGAAATTCTTGTGAATCGAATTGAAATATTTTTCATCATGATCATAAATCGAAAACTTTGAAGCTATATGAATCATTGAATGACGCCATGTCACACACCTATTAATCTAGCAAATCTCTTAAATATGTATTTTCTTGATACGATGAACAATTAATATTTTACTTTTTCACTGAAAACGCAGCTTGAACATTACAAAAATTGTTTATCAGTAGCCCTAAAATTACGATTTATTCTGTATAATATACGAAGACTGAAACAAACCTAGTTTAATTAATTCAAAGCTTTTTTTCCTGTTCTTTTAATATTTATTCCTAAAAATACTTCATAATATGCGCAGTACTATTTTTCTGATAATATGTCAGTTTATTGTCATGGATATAATAAAATTAACCATTTTTGGCGTATATTATAGTATTTACGTCCGCACACAGCTGTCTGAAAATGTAATAATAATAACAATAACAAAAATACAAATTCAACGGGAAAAGGTTATTTTTTGCATTTATCATTGTGATCCAGAGCGGTAAAAATTTGAAAGAAAGACCGGAAAAACTAATTTATCCGGAGACGCAGGATTATATTTTTTAGATACCCGGGAATCAGTGGATCTCTGGATCCCCCAAAAAATATAACTGAAACTTATAACTTAACTATAAACTATTCTACCAGAAATCTGGCTTCGATTATTAACTTCAATGATTATTTGTTAGTGGTTGGTTTCTGGTAAAAAAGTTTACCTAAATGGTACACTGGTAAGGTCATTTATGGTTTTCTTAATAATGTATAAAACAGGAATATATACATAATTATTATGGTTTCCGTTAGTGATGATGGTGGTAATTAAACCTAAATACTAAGACAGTATCAATACCGGATCCTGAGATTGTTTAACCGTGAAGGGATGGGGGTGGGTTTTATTAAAATAAATTATATAATATAAACATGATTGTAGAGTATAAGGTTTACGTAGAAAAAAAACACGTTTCAAAATTAAATTTTTCTAAATGTTGAGTTTTCGAATTAATTGTAGTGTATGACCGCCGATCTTTTCCCCGTTTCGGTTTCAATAAACGAACAGTTTATATAGACTTTACGCTACCCCCCGGAAGTAAATGTGATTTAAATAAATAATAATGTTTTAATTAAATAATATAAATTTTTGGTGAAATAATTCGTACCATTTCGCGTGTTCTAAGAACAACAATATTTTTCAAACTAAAGAAATGTTTTGTACATTGCTGGTAAAACGGTCATTGTTCATGTTATTATTGCACTTTGCAAATTACTTTGTACGGCTAGTAATTTAATATTATTATCGTAACTCGGAATGTCGCAACCCGTTCGAAATGCTGCAGATGCGCGTTATGATTATTATTATTATTATATTATCGCTACCGGATTTCCATTTTAAGTCCGAATTATACGCGATTATTATTGTGTACGCGGGACACAAATCAAATGGGTGTATTTAATTTTAAAAAAGAAAAATCATATTAACAGCGGCCCCACCCGACACGCGTACGCACATTACAGCACGTGACGTAGTCAGGATTTAACAACTGAGGGTCGGTAGTACCATAAAAACAAATCCAAAATTGTATGTTTGTCTGTTATCGTTAATTTCCTTAAACACATTTGAAAATATATTATACACTTAATCATTTAAATATGAAAATAAATCTCATACGGCTAAGTTACATAAACATATCAAACACATTTTGATATAGTTATTAAAGAAAAAAAAAGCCAGTGATCTCTGCGGCCGCCGCGTCCCAACTGGCAACGACACTGCCTGCAACTCTGATTTTATTCGTATATAATGAATAATGGCACATAAAAGTACTAGATAGGCGTCTTTATGTCAGAGATTAGAATCCATATAAAGTAAATATATGAAGTTTGATAGCCACATATTTAGAGAGTAAATTGTATTGATTAACCCGACAAATATTTATTCAGACCACATATAGTAAGGCGATGATGATATTGTTATAGGATCAATTTCAAATATTATGTGTTTCTTATTGTCACATGTATGTACCAGGGAATTAATCATATCTGACACATAAACAAATATTTCGAGTACGGTTACCAGGCATATATTCATAGGGTCCGCTTTCAGATATTGTTTTATAAATTTTAGTATATTATGTTTTTACTATAATGATATGTTTATTATTTTTTCTGTCAGTAGACAAGTTATCGATCGGATAACGGTTGTAATTAAACTGTCCCTCGTATTATGTATTATTTATGGATAATTTTGTAAAACTTGGACAATTTAAACTAAATTCAAGAGTTAGCTAAAACGTGAATAGTTTCGTTAGGTTTATAAAAGATTGTATACATTTCATCAATTTCAAAAATGTTTCGTCGGAAAATTATTAAAAATAAAGTTCTGAAATTTAATAATATACCTAATGACGTTAAGTCAATAACTAAACTAAAATTATTCGCACACAGAATAATAACGTATTCGAACGAGTTTATTGGTAAACATATGATATTTTTTATTTTTTTTATAATAACTACTCTTTAATAAGAAAGAAATTAGTTACAATGAAAAAGTTTATTCATTCTACGCCAATCACCGGCAAACAATTGAACCACTCCGGGGAAAAATTCATAGAACGAGACTCAAGTGCGTCATTAAAAATGCAGTCCTATTGTTTATTATGATTGTTATTATTATTATTATTTTTTTTTTTTTGTAATATATTTACCTATACCTACTCTTTTTATTAATTGTCTTAATGATACAATTTACATTTGTTTTAAAAATAATATTATATCATTAGGTACTTATCTTATTGTTCTTATCTTGTCATCGTTTTTAACAACGATAAAGTAAAAAATAAAAACAAAAATCGGTATAACCTATTGACCCATATTTTCTTTATTTCATTAGTAAAATAACTGTAATTCGGAGCAAATTAAATTCCAGAAAAAAAAAATGCATATATTCTACCGGCCTTTCCTGACTTTTTTAGTCATATAAAACATAATTGCGTATAACAATATAAGTTATCGTAGCGAGGAACGTCGGATAAATTACAGGATAACTTACATGAGTGTATAATGATTTCTATTCATATAATATTAGTATAGATGAAACCCAATAGAAGTTTAGGGGTATCTTAGATATTGCACACAATATCTAGGTATAATATAATATAGATATTGTATATTATGAGCGAAATATGATAATATAAATCACAATGGCATTGGAGTCAAATTAAAAATACAAGGGATTTTCGAAAAACAGTCGAAAAATATTATAGCCAACTAAAGTAAATTTTTAATCAATAATTTAATTAATTTTGGCACCGCTGTAATGGATAGGATTAAGTGTAATTCAGTATAACACAGATGTATTCAAGTATAAACGATGAATTACTGAAATAATAAAATCAAATAAGCGATTCTGAGCTTAAGCATATCGAACAGAGCAAATGCTAATAGTTTACAAAATTATTTAATTACATTTGAAGAACGACTTTTTTGTATACAATTGTCGAACTGTCTGAATTATTTAAGCAAAAAAATAAAAACAAAGTCAAAAGAATCGTGACAATTTCATGTATAATAGCCATAAATAATTAAAAAAACCCGTCACATTATTTGTAGTTTTGCTATTTCAACAAAATTAAATTGTCTTCAATTTTTTTCGGTAATGTTTTTTTGTTAAAATATCTAAAATATATTTGTTATTACAGTACATATATATTTTTTGGTTGCCAAGTACCTATACTCGTAAGTACTTTATATACTATCATCTATTTAAATTATTAGGTTTCATTTTTTTTTTTTTTTACGTATCATAGCATAAATATATAGTTATCGTTTTTTTTTTTTTTTTGTTTATATATACGCCTACTCAAGTATAAACTTTACGAAACTCGTGCGCTATATGTAATAATCCAAACACGGTTTTGATTTTTTCTGGGCAGTAACGAATATTCAAAAACTTTAAAATTATTATAAACGAGCTAACCTGTATGTTTCACGAAAATGAATATCTAATTCTTCAAAAAAAAAACATTTTAAATTCATATTTATTTTTTGTGGACAATACCTATATATTATACTAAAGTCAATATCAGGCACGTAGACGGAAAATCATTTTAAAGAGAGTAGGAGGGTTGGTTGAGTTTAGTAAGTTAAAAAATTAAACATTTTGAACTACACAACAGTTGCGTTATCCGGGATTTTGTATACGTGCTTGGTCGTTGTTTTTATTTTCAAATAATATTCGTTTAAGCAGTACCACGGTCAAAATGTAATATATGGCACACGTCTCGTATTATTATTACTGTATTATTATGTTACCTGCAGTATATTTACTGTAGGCAACATAAATGTTAATTATTTTACATTCTGAGCGATGCGAGGAACGTATTGGTTATACAATAATATTTATTTTTTATATATATACATATTTATATACTATGTACAGTAGATCTACCAGGAATAATGCTCCAATGTATCAAATGTAGCACTTTTTCTAAGAGAAAATTTTATCTAATTGGTACTAAAAAAGGAAGTCATTTTTTGATTTGCCAAGCAGTTCATAATAATCAAGAAAAACCGAGATAAAACCTCGGGAAAACTGAAAATTTACGAAAATAATGTTTTTATTATTTTCAATTTTGTATTTAAACACAGCTCATTTTTATATCCGAAATTACGGTTAGTGGACATTTTTTTTCAACCCCGTGCTTGATTTCGAAAATAAATCGGGCTCAAAGCCCGATCTTAACGTAGGAATCTGCGCCATTTCCTTTTATTTTATTACACAGATTTCACGATGTTATTTATTGATTGGTATTAAATTTATAAACAGGTTTTTGTTTCCGATTAATTTATTTTCTAACACAACAAATCGAGTTGAATTAACATCAAAGCAATATTATGGTACGTTCCTATATTACGAGGGTTTTAAAACGTTTTCAAAATGCTCTGGCAATATCAATTTTATACTGTTTATTATAGTGGTGCTTATAGCTACATACATAATATATAATATTATGTCCCACCGGCTATACGAGTAAAATCGATTTTTTCGTGAACTTTAAGTCCATAATATGAAATTTAACGAAAATGCTCGGCACACATTCGACGGGAAAAATAAATAATTTATGTGCAATTTATATATACCTTCATAAGTAGATAATAGTATGATTTTATCATCCATGTACTCCACACTCTACAAATAAAAGTTGTCTCAATCTTTGGTGCATTCATGTTATAGGTAAATATTTTTTATGGGTTCGCGTTGTTCCATTAAAATATATATTTTACGTTTTCCCAGTTTGATAATATTACATTATTAACCCTTCGTTAGGTAGGTCGGGGCCTGTCTGATCCGAGCATTTTAAAAATTGTTTAAAAAAAATAATTGATCACACAGTAAATCACTGCTAATACATTCAATAACTGTATTAAATGTATATTTACTAATCATTTGTTATCGTAATTGGTTTTTAATTTTCATTATAAATAAGTTTCAAAAACGTTGTGAAACAATACATGACACTCAACCTATTCACTCACGTGTTTCTTAACGTGAATTCTCGTATGATATTTTCAAGTTTCAATGCATATAATTATTTTTATAAGCTCATTTTTTCATATTTTTTTTTTTTTTTGTCACATTAAAACATTTATTATTAAATTGTATAGTTTTTTTGTTATAAACATAATGACACTTAACATAGAGATAATAGATATAACGTTAGAGGTTACTGTTGGACGAATTTAATTTAGGTGATTAATGGTTCATCCGGTTCATCAATGGTCCCCCTCTCCGAATCTACCCGTTATAAATGCATAAAAATAACATTGAAAATGAAATAATCGAAGCAGTCGAAACAATCAAAATTAAAACAAATTCTGTGAAGTACAGACGAATGTATTTTACGGGTACGTACCAAACACTAAAAACGAATACCAAATATCAAGTAATAAGCAAGTAAACTTAAATAACAACTTACATACACATAAACGTACATTACATTATAACACATGATGCGTCTACCTGGTATAAAATCAATTGAAAAAAAAACGCGTTAAATAAATTATAAATGTGGTTATGGTTTATAAATTATGATATGTTAGAATTCATTATTACTTGTACAAACAAGTTCATTAACAAAGTTGCTAATAACTACCGTAATATTTGGTATGTAAAACATACCCAAATTGTTTTTAACTAATGAAAAGGTTTTATTGGTTTACTTTATATGGCCTGTGTAAACCTGTATAGTGGATGTCTAAACATAAAAAAATTTTGGGAAAGAGATGGCGAAAACGTCGACGTTTTTGGACTACAACATCGTTACATAGGTTTAGATTTTTGATTCGCTGCATTAGATTAGATGATCTTGATATTATAATAGAGAGAAAAGTGACCGATAAATTTGCAACTTTTTGAGAATTATTCGATATATTTGTATAAATTGCCAAGAAAATCTTCCTCTCGAAAATATTATTTTCTCTAAACGTTATCTATAACCCTGTTTTTCCTACGTTTCCATTTTTCGGAATCCTTTTTAGTTTTGTGTAATCCTTCGAATTCTTGACTGGTCTAGAAATCTTCTGCAATGTTTTTATTTACAAGTAGGTACCGTGATAATATAATTAACTAAGCATGTCAGCAACTTATCAGCAGCGTAGGTTTGCCGGCGGTTACTGGATGAAACGATGGTATTTATTTTATTTTCCAAGGAATATTTTTAGAGGTGGTTGCCGTTTCACTGGTCGATCTAGTAAATATTGCTGTAATGGAGTTTTGTTAAAACAAAATAATTGATGACGAAAACAATGTACGGCCAACATAAACTTAGACCGAAAATTAATTATTTATAATAAGTTGCTGACTACCTAATTACATATATCATAGTAGATATCAAACATTTATTTGCATATGTTTTCCTCGGAGGTTAATTTGCAGATCGGTACAATGTTACTGGTAGTATTAAGGCGGTACATTTATAAATGTTTTTCTATTTCATTGAGAACTTAATAACTTCATAAGCCCTTAGTAGTACTTATTTCCCTCCTGAATTCTCGCGTCTGCCAGAAAGTAAATATTATTACTGACGGAATCAGTAATGTTATAACAGTGCGGTTATCACAACCTCTCAAGTATCGATTCATTTTCGCCGTGTATAAATGTTAAAAATCCGTTTACTGCACATAACGGATTTACTTAATTAGAATATATGTATTTAGTAAATATCACTATCATGATAATATCATTCATTTTAATATGAATTTCACACCAAAACGTCCGGCAACGTTAAAGCTTGTCGACAATTTTTAAAACAGCAAATTATATAATATTTACATTAATCTGTTATATGTGAATTTGAACATATTTTTTTATTCCGAGTATATTTTTCTTTTTAATTTTAATTCCTTTTAGCACGTTTTATGCTATTTTTTTCATTTGCCATTTATTTTCAATTCAGTCGTCTTTCACTTAAACGTGATGCTGTTGTTAAGTAGGTAGTTTGTAATTTCTTTTGATGTTTTTACATATTATTATTTGTTCGTCTCCTCTTTTTTTATCCGATTAGACTTCTTCGTTCGTCAACCACATTACATTACTATCATTTGTATAACATTTTTAATTATACGGCCCAACAAGTCGTATGCGCCTTAAGTGCCTTCGAACAAATCATCGTCTGTATACACTATTTTGAGATTACGAAATCTCTAAAATGTTATGATAAAAAAAATATACGAGGTGCAGTGTAATAAAAGCAGGAAAAATTATATTTGTTGAACCGAAATTGTTTCGTATTTGGTTTTGAGTGTTTATCTTGAGAAGGGAGGGAAAATGTGAATGGATTCTGCAGATACACCACACGTCACGTATTTATTAAAATATATATATATATATAAATCAAGGTTTTATTTGAGGTATCAAGGCCTTAGATCGCCCAACCTCCAATTTTCAAAAAAAAATTCATAAACTGGTAATTAAAATTATGGTTTAACCGATTGAAGTTAAATATAAAAAAATACAATAAATGTGTATACTATTTGGCATTCTAAAATGATTACTAATTAAATAATAATCATTGCATATTTTCACTACCTATTTATTTAACTAATTACAAATAATTGTATATCAATAATGTAAATCGGAGCAAAATTGCTGGTAGAAAAGTTGTTGACAGATTAAAAAAATAATAATAAACATCATTGGAAAATCAATACATGCCTCGCTCTGCTCGGAATTTAAAATGCTTGAAAATAATTACAAATTAATTTCAACAATTTAAACAAAACCTGGACCAGGTGTCAGAATTATCAACTATTTTTCAATATTATTATAAAAATTAAAAAAACTCTCAAATGATATAAACTCACCTCCCGAATGTACTAAATAAAAAAAAAATAATATAAAAAAATAAAATAATACCAGAAATCCCCCTGGATGTATTGTTTTGATCGAAAAAAAAAAACACCCGTAAGCAACAGAGTACCGTCACTAGAGTGATATTTTCCCTAGACGATTTGTCGCCGTTACAATATTTCATTTTTTTTTATAATTGATCTAAAATAGTTATTGTTTTTAGAGTTTCATTACATTTTAGTCTGTAGGGATATTTAAAACCCGGTATTTCCTGTGAAAACATGAAACTTAAGCCTACAAACAGCTGGGGAGAGGATTAAAAGTTGAAACCACTAAAAATATCGTAAAACCGGTGCGACTCCGAATAGTTTTTGATTTTTAAAAAATGTCTATATTTTATATAGGATTTAGGCAATTCATTAATTAATGCATTTACAAATAATTATTATATTACATTAATATATTTAATAAATATTATAATTTTAAATAAAAATGTTTATAATTTTTTTTTTATTTTCATAATACGTGCATTCGTATAATTAAATGAACGAAAAGAATAATAGCTCGGACATAATAAAGATAAGCGCCTGTTTATCTTGAGAAATGGTAGGTATCTGTATAGAAAATAACAAAATTTGAATTGGATTAAATTTAATTTTAATCATAATAATACTATAAATGGTGAATTAATGTTTAATTTAGTTCTTTAGTGTCTGTTGGGAAAAAACAGCGTTCATTTTTCTCGCTATAACTGTTTAGTTTTTTAAAACCTTTAATTTTGTAATAGGACTTTTATCTGGCACTTATGGAATATAAAATATGAAAACCTATAAAAAGTATTTTTTTCCTTGAGAAGTTGACGTGAATTAATGGTGTATGTTCATTTAATATTTTAACTTATACACGAGTGATCTCATTTGTGCGTGTTATATTTTACTAATATAAAATTATTGTATTGCAACGTTGTCTTTTATGGTTAAATATTGTATTAATTACATAATTTTTTTTTTTTTTGGCGGTTTTTACTAGTTGTTGGTTTATATATTTCGTATTCGCTATCCTCGATTGTTAAATCGTCTGGATCCTTATAATTATTTACATTTTGAAAGTATTCAACTCATTTACTTTTACCTGAAGCAAATTTTTAACTCTACTTTTTTTTTTTACACTACCACTTCATTATCTTTGATATTTCTTAGGAAGCTTATCAATGACTTTTTGAGGTTCAAATGGAGAGAAACCTGTTGCTCTAAACACGTAAATTTTATTATCAGACATGTTTGTGTTTAATTTGTTTAATGTAGATTTAAGAAGTCTAAAATATAACATAATTTAGGTAATAAACCAGATGTTTGTTTTTTTTTCCAGTTATCTAAAATAGGTATCTAGGCTCGTTCTAAAGGTTTAAAAACAGAAACATCTGAGGGTTGACAAAGGTGCGTAGTATTTGTTGGGCATAATACACATTTTGCATAATGCATTTCACGTAATTTTAAGATTTTAGGGGAAAATGACTCGGTAAATATCACCTATGATAACTTTAGGTCCGTCTAAATATTTGCATGCAGTAGGAAATATAGTGGAAAAAACCTTCTTCGAAAATCGGCACATAGTGTCAAAGTTAGTGAAAGATTTCTTTTTAAAAACCATTTTACCAAATTCCATGTGTCTGTTTTTTAAATTTTGTAAAAGACCTACGGTCATCTTGTCTACCTAAGGAAGATTTTACCACTATTTGAAGATTTTTACTTTCCATAGAAAATCCCCATTTCATGGATTTGAATAGCTTTTCACCGATTTATTTTCTTCTTCAACATCTTTCGGCCAACATAAATTTGTTAACGACATTATTTTATGTTTAATCTGTTTTTTTTTTTTTCTATAACTAATTGTACTTTTGTGTAACTCAAACGCTTTTGTCGCTTTTCATGTACTCATGGTTTTTTACAACATTTGTAGATTTTTTTAGGTTTCTGAGTTGTATGATTGGTATTATGACTACGATTTTTAGATAAATTTTTGGCACTTTTCATGCGTTCGAAATCATCCCGCGTTTTGTCAATTTCAAACAAAATAATAAACAGTACGTATAAATCGAACAAAATATCTACCTATACTTTACCATACGTGTTGATCGTGTTTACACGAATATCACGTGAAAAGATTTTAACGTCTATTGATATTGAACATCAACAAGTCCTAGAATATATTATCCTCTTCGTGTACGGTGGCATCATATACTGAATTTTAATACTTGTATTTTTTTTTTTTTTTTTTAATATTGTATGATATGGTATCAAATAATACTACATACTTAAATCGGATTTTAAGTAATTCAAAATAAAAATGTTTGTATTTTTCTTTATATCAATAGGTATTCGGCAATATTTGATTCTCGGCTTACTCGGATTCTTAATTTGATCGGCCGTAGTACAACGTTATTACGTAGGAGTTTAGTGTATACATACTTTGAATAATTGTTACATAATGTATTTTGCTAATTAACAAGAATGGTATTAATATTAATATGTTTTGCTTTTTATCAATACAATGTAAAATTAACGTTTTCATCGATCGAAGGCACTACAATCAAATAATTGTTCTGTGGTTTAGAGAATTTCTAACTACAATCTGAAAAAATAACAATGTTCAAAAGGCGTTTCAATATTTTTTCATGTAACACGAGATATTAAATAAAATAAATTAGAAGAAACCAGAATAATTTGGTTTCTGTAGGTATTCTCTCGGATAAAAAAAAAATAGGCTACGGTATGGATGTTAGATATACACACATCGTAGGTGTACGTTTATTCACGCAAAAAATGTTTCTTTTTATCTGCACGTATCCGAATTCGGGATCGAAAAAGAAAACGATTCCGTCACCCAATATTTGTCCGTGTCTCCCTATTAAAAACCTACTCGTATAGCTATAATTTACTTGCTGGAGCTCTTCTAGGATTCCGTAACAAATTAGTTTTCCAAACATTATCTAACTACAATCAATAATATCGAAATGAAACCAAAGTCAATAATAGCAATTCGCATAGCAAACAATTATTCTAATTTTGTAAAACATCTAAGCCATAAATAAAGGGCAAACCTATCCTAAGAAAACTGTTTCACAGAAATACATACTAATCCAGAAGCATATCTGTGTACCGAATTTCAAATTTACCAAAAAAAAAAAAACAATTATGACCTAACTGTAATTGCATTCAAAACGCTAATTTATTCCAATACCAAAATTTTGGAATCCCGATTTCAAAACCATCAAATCTGCACAAACAGAACAAAATTTCATACTTGATTAACGTAAAAATTTATTTTGCCACGGACAAATTGACTGTAGCACGGAATCGTAAAGACCCTGTATAATAAATTATATTTATTTGTTAAATTACATAAAAGCATTTCTTTCTGATAATTTAGATTTCCAAAAAATCAGGTGTCAATTGTTTGTATTGATTTCTGTCACTTTTGTTTTCCACGATTGTCCAATAACCTACTGACAATAATCGATCAGATCGCATTCGGTTATCTCGTGTTTAGTTTTCAAACAATAACAACTATCATACCTATTCTGGACGTGATTGTCCATCAAAATATCAACGTTCCAGCCTATGTTTTATTACGTGGCAAATAATCTGCACTTACCCGGTGATGTACAACTGGTCCAGTGGCGGTCCGACCGGTTCGGCTCCCAGGGACATTGGCCACGCGATGTGCAACAGCGAGTCGCGGACGATCACGTCCCAGGCGGTCACGTGCGTGGTGCCGGTCCACTCGGACACGCGCTCCCATCGCACCAACCTGCCCCTGTTGTTCCGGCTCCTCCTGCGCAACATGGTCATGGTGGCCTCCAACCGGTGCTGCTGGCTGTTCTTGTGGCCGCTGCCGCCGGCGCCGTTGCCACTGCCGCCGCCGTCGCTGCTGCTTCCGCCCGGCATGGCGACTGCCCGCGATGCGTTCCCGTCGCGAGAAACTACGGCCGGTGGTCCGTCACGCCGGCATCCTGTAATCGACGATCGGTCGCGTTATTTCCAATGCCAATACAGCAGGTACCGTTTGTAATGCTACCCCGTGCCCTTGCCGTACACGTTGTTCGTTACGTTTAAAGGTACAGGGCACCACGTCCGGTTGTCGTGAGTGACGGAGATAAGACGATTGAAAACAAAACCCTACGGTTATTGTCCAAGGGTGCACGGCACACGAACAAAAATATCGTTTTCGGCAATTATTCATAATTGAACATTAATAATATTAAAACTGTTAGCGTTTCTATTTTGTAAAGAATACTCACGATACGTTTAAATTTTCACAAGCGGTTCGTATAAGTTACGTAGAAAAACAAATTTATAGTCGCAAAAAAATCTCTTGTAAGATTACTATTCAGTAACGTGATATTGTCCTCTACTTCCGGGGTATAGAATGACGGCAGCGATAGTGCCATAACGGGCGTAACGGCCATAGATTGATGGTCCCGGTAAAACTCCTGTATTGTGTGACGTACTGATTTCTATCGACTGTTATGACGTCTGTATAACGACTATACGGATGTTATGACATTTGTTTGGTTACAATGGAAAAATCTATTAGCTATAATGACTGTAATGACTAATAAACTTTTATCGATTGCTTTATATTTTATTTCTTTTTTTTTTAACAGAATTATTATAAAACTACTTTTTTTTTTTGCCGCATATGTATGAAAGTCACGATTTAATGATAAAAATATGATGCATTAATTCCATTATAATACTATGTATTTATGTATACATAAATACATACACACATACACATAATCGAGTTTTGAAATTGTACAGAAACATTTCGGTTATAATGACTAATTTTAACCAATGCAAAATGTATTGCAATAATAATGGACTTTATGTTAGAATCTGTGGCTTTGTTGAAAATTATTTATTTATTTAATTTTTTAATTTCAATTTTAAATATTCAATATGCATTTCTTTTCAACTTTCAATGTACTTTAAAACAACTTTTTGGATACCAAAAGGTATAATATATGGTAATATATTGCCTATCCAAATTTTCCGATTAGTTATTAATAAATATTATAAATTATTTAATTTTATTCGGTTAGTTGATTCTTATTTTTGATACTAATCCGCTTATTTATTAACCCGTAAATGTTTAGATTTTGCATTTCGAGGTAAAAACGTAGCAAAGATCACTTTCCAGTTTGAATGTCAAGTGTGCAAAGATTTATCATGATCGCAATAAAATTGTAGATTTGTATAGTGGATAAGAGACGGAAAGGATTTCTATTTTGTCCCACAATATTCATATATTATTTAGGAGAACACAATGCCTCATACAACTTGTAAATTACATTTTTCCGACTCTTCCCGAGCATGCCTCTGGCCAAATAGATTTATTTTTCAACGCGTGCATATTTTAATTATTTTTTCTCGACCACAATGACGACCTGTCATCGTGTGCAGCCCATCATACAGGTGCGATCGAGCCGTGGAAATGTGCATTTCTGTACGATATTCGTTTATATATATATTATACTGAAACGCGTTTTCGTTCGTTCGTATATTATTTTTTTTTATTATTTATGGCTTACTATCCGGAAGTTCGCGTTGAGTCGCTAAATAATTCAACGGACGTTGGAAAAAAAAAAAAAAGGCCACAGAGTCGAGGGACGGGCAGAAAAGCCACCGAAAAAAATGACGCGTCACGTGTTATACATCACGACCGACGAGAAAAAAAACGACCGTAATTATAATTATTATACTGTTTTATCGTGGCGTGTGTCTACCACCAATAATTACGGTATACCTAATATTATTACTATTATTATTATTATTATTATTATTATTATTATTATTATTATTATCATTATTGTTATTACTATCATTATTATTATTATTATTATTATTATTATTATTGCGATTATGACGTTGTGTGGTACTGTTGAACACCGTCATTTACGCGGCCGACAAAAACGCAGTACGGATAGGAGAAAGAAAAACGAAAACTAATAGCGGGGGTGCCGACGAGTGATTTTTCTATCCCAAGCTGTACTGACGACAGCGTCATTTTTTTTTACGCCGAAAGAAGGCGCATGTTGCAAAAATAATAACATAAATGGGTAACACTTTTGACGGATACGCCCGGTGCCGTAAAAACCGCGGTGCCACCGTTTCATTGCACCGCCCCCCCCCCTGGAGCTGTGAGCTCTTGTATGGGGCCGTACGCATTGAATCATAGACCGCGACGTTATCACATCCGATGGCCGAACACGGCCTTTTAACTATTGTTGTTCACGTGACTCGTGATACGCGGGGATACGGGACAGTTATTACACGTTCTTGACTATTCTTGCCTATACTAAACACTCATAGGTATTCGACGGATTTACGCAATTATGATTTCTACTCGAGGTGGCCGACCTTTCAAAAATGAATTACCGGCCAATGTGTACGGATATTTTACATGGTAATATGGCTACCGTCGCTTTGTGAAACTGGCGACTGACCCGAGTCCCACTACCGCCAAAACAAATTCGACAACTCCGTTATACTGGGCAATTGTGTTTTATTCAATTGTAAACGGATACCCAAATAATTCAAACGGAAAAGCTGTGGACCAACTTACGATTGTGTAGGTAGGTACGTTTTATTTAACAGCCACCGATGTTACATCTGATAAGACCAGGCAAGGAGAATTTTCAGTTGGGTGTATGCAACTAGAATAACAACAACTCAAGAGTTGCATCTAAGCACGTAAATACCACGTAAAGTTAAAAGAGGAGAGGTGGGGGGGTATATCACCGTTTTTGTAATTAAAAAGAAAGAAATAAAAAATCATTAATAAACCTATATGTATGTAAATTGTTAAAATATGTTAATATGACTACATTAGTCTTATTATAAATTCCATTTTTTATTTTCACAATAATGCACAGTTTCCCCTATTAAATATTACGTTTAAAATACTCATATAGATAATTATATTAATACTTGATATTTAATTTTGTTATCAAACTATTAACGATTTTGATTTTTGATAAAAAATAAAAAATTGTCTCAATTACTAGTTGGGTAATTGAATTTATGCAGAAAATAATATTTTGTTGGCTTTTATATTGCATACCTGTGTATTCTTTTAAGAAAATGTCATTTGTTTTTCGAAAAAATGTTCATAACAATTGGAAAAAACCGAGAAAAACCTAGGAATTTACAAAATGTATTGTTTTCAAATGATAAATATGACGGCTATTTAATACATGTATAACCGAACTTCTTTCAGAATCGTTTTTCGTTAGCAAAGATTAATCATTTCGTACAGATATACATAAAATTTCCCCTTAAAACTTCTCATATACAACGGTGGCCCACCCTTCGTGTGAAGTATGTCCGTATCTCTTTTTAAAGTATGCGGTTAGATTGAATATAAATGAAAAATAATGGGTCCACAAATTAAATTTGCACCGGGGCCCATTTAACTCTGGCTACGGGACTCCATATACATATACCACTGTTCTAAAAGAGATATTTAAAAGGAGGATAGGTAGAGTAGTAGGTAGCTAGTGTTATTTATATGTGCACGTAGCGATAAACTATTACCAACGAAAAACGATTTTGAGCGAAGTATTTATTGGTCGTATTTTTCCCTTGTAATCAAGATGTCCCAGAATAAAACAAAAATTATACAAAAAATTACCATTTTTTCCCGTTTATTAAGAATAATACAAAGTATATCAAAAATTAACCTTTTATGCACTAACCTGATTTTAAATTCTACAAGAAAGTTCATGTTGAGTTAATGAATAATATTTCTGGTAAAATAGAATTTTTATTAACACAGAAGAAGCTTCATTCAGAATATAAAATTAAAAGTATGTTTTACTAAACATGTATTCATTTATAAATGTACAATACAATAGGTTTTGTGTTTCCACCTTATATTTGGACTGAATTTTAAGCAATATCAAATCATACAACAGTATTTACCACAATAATTAATAGTCATTTTACGCTAAATTTAATGGACTAGGTATTTTATGTCCCGCATCCAAATATTTATTTGTGTTTTGTGTGTATTAATTGATATTCACAAAGATATCCAGTCGAATAATTACTTTTTAAAGGATTTTGAAAATGTCTAAAATTACTTTAAAAAGAGAAGTAACAATCAATAGCCGGTCTTCCAAAAGATCCTCAAATTTCATATATTTGAAGTAAGCGCCAATTTCTATTGTAAATGAAGAGTTTTGCTAATAAAAGTGTACATGTAGTTGCATAACCATTTTTAATTAAAGACATGCATTTTTATTTTTTTGTTTTTATCTGAACAAATTGTTTTCAATATCACATAGTTATGAATGCAACTGCGAGGATATCTTAATTTTCATTTCTAAGTTTTAAGTTTAGTTTAATTTTAGTTGTATAGTTTATATTTCCTTAAAACTTTTTAGATTGGTACGGCGGTATTATAATTTTTGATTTATCAGGAATTCAGGGCCGTTATATTTACATAGCTGAGTTTTTCTTTACCGGAGACAACGTTTTACCTGGTGATCAAATTTCGTATCATCATAATTTTTTTTATTATTATTTTTCGAAGCGAATAGCGAAACCTTTTTGATGAATTTTTAATATATTTGATGAGTAAGACGTTTCTTTTTTATTTTCTAAGCGCTTTTCATAATAATTCGGAAACAAAAACGTGAAACGAAAACTGACAATTTTACAGCGTTATAATTTCGTTATTAGAGATTCTAAGTGGAGCGAAGGATCTATTAGCTTTATTTTATTTTTATTTTTTTATTTTGAGTTTTTTAGTAAACATTTTCAAGTGGAAAATTTCGTTGTTAATAGCTGTTCCAGTGTTTCATTACTTCAATAATTTCAGAATTAGTTTTTGGGCAAGGTCGGATATAAAAATCGACAAGACAAATATAAATTGTATGTTA